AGTCCATTCGAAGGTGCGAAATCGCGCGTGGAAATTATCGCTGGAATGACGGCACCGGTCATTCAACTGGTAAGCCTTTCCCAAGCGGAACTCACTCAGTTTTTCTTATAGGATTCTAATCGCTATTAATGTTGTAAATTGTGAGAAAAAGTCGGCCTTTCGCACGATTTACTTGTACTGTTTGAAGAACTCTCTTTACCTATTTTTTTTTATCCGGAGCAATGGTTTTCCAAGCAGCATAAAAACGTGCAAATTCATATATATGTTCGTATAAGCATTAGAATTACGAGAATGAATCATATTCATTTTGCAAACAGATGATAATAATGACACGACTATGAGTGGTTATTTATTTAAGGATAAATTGCACATATTTTCAAATGAAAATTATGAAAAATTTACAGACTTCTATATTGTTAAGAGTTTGAATTATTAAGTTCAATTGAATAAAACAATAGTAAAAAGTAAAAAGAGCTATATATATAATATATATAAGAGCCAACTCTAGTTCTTGATAATTAATATTTAATGTCTTTCAAATTTTAACAAACATTTCGTTCTTATATTAGGATCTTTTCAATGTTAATACATAAAAACAATTCTTATCTTACATACTAACAAGTCTAAAACATAAAAACAACTCCTACCTTACATAATAAGTCAAATATTACAACGGTTGAAAATTACAATTTAAAATTCTTCTATGTTGGTATGTGGTGAATATAATTACCATGTTTTTCGTTGTCATTTCTTCATTACTCAATATATTTTATTCGATATCAGTTGATATCTTATGATCGTAATTCTCGAACTGATATACGTTTAGTGAATCGACCTAATTTCAAAGTTATTCAGAGTAACATTAATTGGAAGATAATACATGTAATTATATTTGAGTTTATTATGCAAGGTAGGAGTTGTTTTTATGTTTTAGACTTAGTATGTAAGGTAGGAATTGTTTTTATGTATTAATATTGAAAAAGTCCTAATATAAGGACGAAACATTTGTTAAAATTTGAAAGATATTAAATATTAGCTATCAAAAACTAGCGTTGGCTCTTAGCTCTTTTTACCTTTTATTATTCTTCTATATTGTATTTGTGTGTGTATGTGTGTGAAAGTAACACAAAAAGTTTGGCGGCGATTTAAAATCTAGAGAAATAATTATTTCAATAAAAAGTAGATATGCTTTTAAAAATTAATTAACATAAAATGAGAAAATTTTCATTTAAAATATAAAATTGTATTAAATGTCAATATTAACTTGTTTCATATGTATGTAATTTTTATTTTTCCAATTCTAGTCACTTTTTGCAGCTGATACATCCTTAAGAAATCAATGGATTTGTTTCTGGATTATTTAAACATATAGCATACTGTTTTCATGCACTACACTAGTTTATTAATCAAGAATCTCATATTTCAGCCTGCAGGACTTTAATGTCAATCTTTTACGATAAATCATGTTCATCGAGCAAAAAGAGTTTTTCGGCTGAAAATCTGACGCGTGCCGCAGTTAACGAGCGTTAATGCAAATTATATCATGGGAATTATACAGATGTTTAATAAACCGTCCATTAAATTTCAATAGAACGGTCTTAACGTCATTTATTTGATGCTACGTTAACTCGAGCGGATATTGATACTTTCACCGTGAATCTGTTGCCGCAATAGAAGCGTGAGCGTGCGTACACGCGCAGGTGGATCACGTTTCCTGAGCCGCCGCTCGCGCTCGCACGCGTGCACAGCTCGCGCGTTTCGAAGGTAAGAGTCAGCCGGGCGTGACCGGCTCGGGGAGAAACGCGAGATACGCGTAAATGTGCGTAATAGCGGATTTGCCATTCGAGAATTTAAGCGTGTATTTTACAACAGTAAAGCCGTACAATGCTGATCAAAGCGCGTTGCTTAATGACTTTCGAAATTGATTTAAATTTCAAACGCGGGGATACGGGATTTTGCTCCACGCTATTTGAAATTTCAACGAAAAATGTATAAATTATGGAGGAGAAGGAAAAGCGAGGTTACGCGCCCTTAAACAGGGAATTAACGAGATCAAAGAAGCGTATTTCAAAATTTTTGCCATTCCAGAGAGTTTTGTTTGTAAAAGTTGTCTTACTCAATTTAGTTATTTATCGGAAATTGAAATACACACATACTCCAGGGTACGATTTAATTTTTCAACTTTCCGATTCGCTGCAGTTTGCCACGTGTGTATTTGAAATACATCACTGTTACAATTTCCACGGAATAATTAAATTCTCGTGGACTCAATGAATAAAACACAGAGGGAATTGAAATCAATTTCTATATTTCTTCTTTATTCGATTAATTAATTAATTCGCCTCCAGAGTTTGTTTTTTTCTCGCTTAACAAAATTGGCTTCATCTTCTTTATTAGAAGTTCAATTATCACGCGACGTTGTTAATCATTGTTAATCGTTTATTGTTCTTATAATTAACTATGTCATTCGCAACACATTGACGATGACGAATCCAATTCAATTTATCCGACGGAATAAAGATGAACAAAGTCGAATAGCGCTCGTCATTTTCCTTTTAAAGGTATCTTTCTCATATGGCGTGACTTGACGAGTGTGCGAGTATTCGTGTTACTTTTGCGAATGTTGAATAAATTCGTCGTATGTATTCCCACGGCTCTACATCAGCACAGCGAATAAAACTGAGTCGGCCTACGTATGTTTCTACGCAAATCGATGAATAGCTTTATACGGTCATTCCAATTCTACTGTTTGCATCAAAGAATAAACTTAATTCATTCAATTTATTTTTTTGTAATGAATGAATTTAAAAAAAAGATCGTGAAATAAATTTAATAATTTAGTTTATGTGAAATAATTAACAATGTAATGACTAAAAATCGATTTGCACTGATACTCTTAACTTTTTGCATTGCAATTATCTTATTCTATTATGTATTATACTGTTAAATTTATAATCGAATTATATACCCAATTTGAGTTATTTTTATATAATTACAGATTTGAGTTATTTTTATTTACAAATTTTAATGTGTTTATTAGCATTTATATAATTGTAGATTTGAGTTATTTTTATTTACAGATTTTAATGTGTTTATCAGTACCGCATTAAGATTTTTCTAAGATGCCTATGAGCATAAAAATTATTAAATTGCTAGACAATTTAATTTGTGGTAGTACTAGTTTTATCGGTATAACGATTCAAATCTGAAAATCAATTTGGTAGGATTTGATACGTGGTATATAAATTCCAAGAAATTCACATTAAATTAAGTATTTAAGCACTAAAGGTTCAGCTTTGACCGTTATGGGCTTTATTTCCTATTGGTTGTATTCACATGTATGATGATCTATCTAATTGTCTATAAGATTCTTATTGTTTTATTTTTAATTATTTCTACATTGATAAAAACGTACTAAATTTTAATAATTATTAGTTCGAATAATAATATTTACTAAATATTTACTAAATGTAAACATATATTTATTAGGTACAAGAACCATTAATTTGATTTAAATATAATTGTTTTTATTGAACTAATATTTATTGTAAGTAAACGTTTAGTACTTTTTAAACATATACTTATTAAAATTTCGTAATTTTTTTTCTGTGTATAAATCGTCATTGCTCCTATTTAATATGTCTTTAATTTAATTAATACAATAGAGTTAAACAATTCAAGAGAAATATATTGAATGTGGCAAAAATTTACTTTATAATTTACTAAGCGCATACATTAATAAGAACACTGTTTACTTCAAAACAATTCAAAGCAATTCCATAGAAATTAGTTAATTAAATGGGGTTGTTTTTTTAACTACACGTCTTAAAATAATAATTTTGACACGCTTGGAAGTTAAAAACATTAATATGTTATTCAATTTAAGGAATTGTTTTATAAATTTGAACTTTTAATATTCAATGTATAGTTCTAAATGCTTTAGTCTGGTGTAATTTTTAATTTGAGTCGGGAAAGAGGATTTGAAGAAGTACCCTCGCTGGAAAGGTAATTTTATACAAGGCAGGAAGAAAAAGCGCGAGCTCTCTTTAGAATCCTCATCCCTTGCGAAATGCCGTCGTCGTCTCTGTACTTATATTCGTGCGAAGCTTCCTTATTTTGCGGAAAGAGCGAAAGCTCTTAGCGAACTTTCGACCGAAAACAGCCGCTTTCCGCGCTCTTCAGCCACAATAGACGATCTCCCTTTGCCCGCCGCGCCATGGACGTTATTTTCTTCTTTCTGGACGAATAGGGCATCTCTCGGAGAACGGTTTTACCGTTGGACGTTCCAGTTTCTTGCATCTATCGCAAATTATGAGATAGCACTCGGTCTGTGTCCAGCAATCGTATATATCGTCGATAACTGTACGCGCAATTGCTTGCACGTATGAGCGGCGGAATCGCGGCCGTAAAACTAACGTACCCACGTTTTTGTTTTTTCTGCAAGGCCGAGTTATGCGGGCGCGATGAGGAATGATTACGCGAGAAATGATTACCACCACGATGCATCACGAAAACGTGAATTTTGACGAGATATTGACGTTTCGGTTATTCACCTCGATTCAACGGACACTACGGTTCCTGACGCTTTTATTTTGTCAGTTCAGTTTGACAGCCCGCATCGAAATTCAGCTAAATAATTAACGAGCAAAGTGAAACTGTTTGATTTACGTGCGTTGCATACTTTCTGTTATTTTCCGTTTGTTGAAAAACGGATGGTAATAGAATAATAGCGATAAATTTTGCAAAAGCCGGTTATTAACTTGTTATAATAATGCATTTAAGATCTCTAATTTATGCGAATTGTCTTTGTGAACGGTAATGCGATTTTAATTAAAATACTTTGCGAGAGGGATCACGTTAAATTTGGTTATGACACTTTAATTATTACGAATATTTTATCTGCCGATTAACAGCACACGTATTTACGTACACGAGCAAAAGTTACGAGATTTAATTATATAATTAATGAACTTATACGATCGCATTACGTTGCGTTACAGCGCCCTATGAGGGTGGAATATGGAAGGTGAGGGTTCATCTGCCGGAGCACTACCCTTTCAAATCACCTTCGATCGGTTTCATGAACAAGGTCTACCATCCTAACATTGACGAAGTCTCGGGCACGGTGTGTCTAGACGTTATAAACCAGGCTTGGACTGCCCTTTACGGTACGTATTCATTTAGCCGCGTAAAACCGTGCTTGACCAGTCTGTAAATAGCGCACTAGTATCCGCGCAATTTTCATTTAGACGTCTACTTAACCTTTTCATTACAAGTAACTTAATTTAGACTTTGCTTTGAGAGTTACAACGTGAAAGTTGCATGCTTTCCAATCGTATATGTATATATCTTGTATTTATTACGAGTCGAGCTTTGTCGAGCAACGTTGTTGAGGGACAACCTTTAACTCTAATTGATAATTGGCTCCGAAATTTCCTTAATTTTATTCACGGGTTCAGCGTGTTCGACAAAACTATAAATTAATATACCTTTGCTTAAAGTTAACGTAATTAACGTAATTAACGTATGATTTTTCATTTTGAAAGTCAAAATCCGAGGAACAGGATTATATAATTTAAAGTTATATAAGGTTGTGAAAAACATTTTTTAACAATGTTTGGTGCGTAATTGAAAAATATGTCCAAGTCCACTGAGATCCGCGAATGCTAATTAGAGTTAATGTCTATCGAAAGAGAAAGAGTGAAGAGACTACGAACGATTACTAACGACATTTTTGTACTATTTTGTTTCAGACTTATCAAATATTTTCGAGTCTTTCCTGCCTCAGTTGTTAACATATCCCAATCCAATCGATCCCTTGAACGGCGATGCTGCCGCGATGTATCTTCACAAACCCGAAGAGTACAAGAAGAAGGTGGCGGGTGAGTATGCTACAGGTTTAATAAGTATCCCTCATTAAACGAGGCACAGTTGGAACGAGGACGGTGGATCATTACAAGACTTTTACGATCGACCGTCAATCGATCCGTGTCTCCCTCTTAAAGTAAAACTTCCCCTATCGTAGTTGCTTCCGTTTCGCGTGTGTGCATGCTTGACATCATTACCGTCGCAATGCAATTTCCCATTTCTGACTTCTCGGCAGATTACGTGAGGAAGTACGCGACGGAGGAGGCGCTGAGGGACCAGGAGAACGGCGGCACCGGCAACGGGATGTCCTCCGACAGCGAGTCGTCGATGAGCGACTTCAGCGAGGACGAGGCGCAGGACATGGAGTTGTAACCAAATATATTACCATCCGCGCGTACCCATATCCTTAATCATCTCGATTCCCTGTAAGATCCCCGATCGCTCGTCCTACTACCAAATAGATGCTTACACCCGAGACTCCGAGTCTCACTTCTGGTGACGGCGACGAGGTCCCCTTTACTACTCGTTGCTGCTCTCGTCACTCGTACATATACCGAGGGGTTGGTGATCGACCATCCCCGGCACGACGAGAGCGAAAGTGACGGAGACGAACGAGGTAAAAACGGAGAATCGCGCTCTTCTCACCGAGCGCATCTCGAGGGGCGTTTTCTATCACGACAGCGATGTCTCTCACGGTCGTCCAAGCTCTTGCTTGAGTTAATTCGTTAATTATTCGCTGCGTTTAATTGTCACATTCATGATGACGACGACGACGATGATGATGATGATGATGATTATAACGTATCATCAACGAACGAGACGTTGGCACAAATGAAACTCACAATCTTTGTAAACGTCTCGAGAGTCGATGCTCTTACTTTTCAGTGCGAAGAAGAGAAAAAAAGAAAGGGTATGAAACGAAAAGACAGAGAGGACCACCGTTGGTATTTACGGGTTATTCATTGATTGACGCAATAACGATTTTCAGCCGGTGCTTTTACTGCGTATATATATCTATGATGCGTTTTTCTATGATGAACAGCGAAACAATAACGTATCGTACATCTAATGTATTCACCCGGTCATGTTTTCCTCGATTTTTGAAATTCTCTCGTCCTTGTTTGTTCTTTCTTCCGAGCGCCCATAGGTGCGTTTGTCGTTGTTATTCGAAAACATGTGATCGAGATTGAAGCAGCAGAGAGATGCACTAAAAAATTTTAACGATGAATTGATTAATCTGGCATATAGCGATCGCATCGTCTCTCTACCAACTAACGACTCCTTTGCTGCTATCTTAGACTGTGTTAGAATCTACTTAAAAAATTATTTTTACATTCGAAATCACTATCAATCGTCATTCTCCTCATTTTTATCTGAAGAGTACGCTAAATATTGCCTAGTTAAAAGTGAAAAGCAAACAGTTTGTCTCTACGATCTTTTCTTTTTCTCGATCGATTATAAAAACTGGTGCGTATGTCACGCGTCAGTTTCAGGTTTCTTTTGTTTAAAACAACAGTGAGACACGCAAAAATGTGATGGAGTATGGGTACTAGCACCGTCTTCCTTTTTCCTGCCATCACTATTCCCAAACGTTTCCCCCGTAGGGCTGCGCATCAGCGACCGATCGCCACGTCGTCGTCGGCCGCGGGAAAAAGATCGAATCTACTACACAAACGGCCGCACGCGAACGACGTCGAGATGACGGAGCCGCTAGCCAAGACTGCGCGATTGTGGAATCACCCCGGGAGAATGAGTGCAAACGAGACTCTGAATATGTTTCAAGCAACCTCGACGTCCTGTCTCGAACTGTGCGCATCGGGCGGACAAAGTGCGGAAGAGACGCAAGTTACAGGACTATCATCACCGTGTGTCCATCCCTTGGAAGTGAATGTAGATTTAGTTGATCCCGGTGGGTACGGATCGGACGCGATTTAATATTCGCTCGCGGAAAATTTTAAGTCAATTTGTACTATTTTAATCTCATTGTTATTCGACTCATTATAGATTTCATTATATAGATTATTGTTATTAAGAGGAGGACGTATATTAAATTGAATTGGTTTGTTACAATGTTTGAGAGATGCTTTGCTTTTCTAGAAGTGAAACTGGAAATATCCTTGCGTTTAAAGAAAGTAAAAGAAAGAACAACTACCCTTACTTAATTAATCATTACTTCCATCCGCTAATGCAGTTTTAAGTTTATTTCGATTATTAGAACTAAAGAAAATGAAATCAAAGAACTCAGGGAATTTCCGTTTGAGAAACAAAAACTATGGTTGTATCATCGCTGAAATAAGCAAAACTATGAATTCGAATACACGAATGGAATGCGCGAGGAAAGGACTACATTTATTTTTATGATTGACGATATATCAGCGAGTTTAAATTTTCAAAAAGAACCAAGTAGATTAAAGAATTGTTTGGCAAAGTGTAGGAAAACTGTAAATTTATAAAATATAAAATTGTACAAACTTTGGTGCACAATAATCTTCGATCAATAGTATCTCGTTTCAAATTGATCTCCCTCCTTTGCATGATTTACATGTATGCAATGCGATTTATAGCTGTACGTAAGTATAAACATTATATTTCAGTGCCTTCTCAGGCAAAAAAAGCGTGCCTTATTATATGGGTCTCTGGTAAAGAATTTCATTGGACTATATGAGTGAATACGACGAGCATTTAGCGTTAACGGATCTTTGGACGAAATTAATTATGCTTAAAGCATTGCAAATTAATACCGAATGTGTTTTTAGAAACTAGAGATAAACATCGATTACTAGGCTTCAATGATTCCTTGATAATTGAGGAATGTGTAAGACATCAACGGAAAAGACAGATATGTAAGAAAGATATGAAAAATTTCAACGATCAATCGATTCTCCATCTTGAGAATTTTGAACAGATATGACGCCGAATTGATACAACAATATCGTAATGTCGCTATAACTACGTTGCGTAGGCGCATCGGTCGTAAATGCAGCAACTACAGTAATCAAATTCAGAATGTAAATAGCAAAACAAAAGTTACGATTTTTTAGCCAATGTACTGTATATTTATACAATTTCGTTGCGCACGCTCCTGCAGTCGCAATTTTTATTTCGTCTACCGATGAAGCTTATCCAGGTTTTTAATGTATTATGCAACAGTTCTGCGCTTACTTTTTTTTTTAAAGAACGCTATGTTTTATGCAACGATATATAATTTATACGTAGGGATATTCACGCTTTACATTATTACGTTATTATTTAAGACGAACTTTCATGGACACGGCCTGTTTCCCAGCGAATCCATTCCGTTGACGACGTGTACTGCAATGTATTTACCGTTTCGAGAAGTGCTATTAAGACTAAGTGAAATCAGTACAGTTTTCGTGTAACTTACAGAAGCAATGCTGTTTTTATGTTTCTATGTTTTTTTCTCGTGCAATTATGTAAAGCGACATGTTTCAAAATCCGTCGGTTGCTCTTTGTCATGTTTTTCATAATATTCATCTTTGGACTTCGTTATTGTTATAATCTCAGTGCTTTTTGAAACTCGGTGTGCAATCAACAAAGTATGATATGTGCGTCACTTGAATGTACGTCAAGTTAAATGTGCAGTTTATTCAGCCTGAATACTTAGAATTATCTCAGCTGTACTTAGAAAAAGAGAAAAGGAAAATTCTGCTATTCTTTTATTCGCACTGTATCTCTCACAGGAACGCGCGTCTTTTATTTTTATAAGTTAGCACAAAGTATGTAGCTTTAACGCGTCTAATGTCTCGTCGGCACTGTACTTTTAGACTTCGTTCATTCAGAACCAAAAATCATCATATTAGAATGTGCGTTTCCCATGGAACCGTGTCGATTGAGTTTGAAGTCGTGCTCTCAGATCTCACATCGTTGCTAATTATATATGTAACATATAGATTATTGACTAGTTATACGCATAAATATATATATATATATTATCGATCATATTCGCATAACTTTATATTAGCTATTATGTATATGATTTTACTAACGAATTGTTTAACTAAGCGAAGAAGAATAATTTTAATAATCATTTTTTATATTTTTTTTTTGCAAGTGTTGTTTGTTCCTCCTGTCAATTGATAATTTAACGTCTCCGTTTCGACTATTGGGATTGTTTCTTAGTATTCCTTGTTCGGTGCGCGCGCGTGCGCGCGCTCATTATTATAACGAAGATTAAAAATTTTCCATAGTATGTGTAAATTGATATTGGATTATTATCGGATTAATGCTTAGATTAATGTTAACTAATATTTCGTTTTATAATGCGAAGATCCATTGCCTCTATTGTGTTCAAAACCTTTTTGTAACATTGAATAATACGTCTAAAGGCATATTTTTATACATGTATTGCAATGATATAATATAGCGATAGTTGCATGTTCTTTATCCTATGTCGGGTTCCATCGCCATTTAATTTTCCCCTCTGTGATCATAAATAATGGATAATCAATTATTTTTATAATCGTGAGCAACCTGTCTCATACAGAACGATTAGAGTCTCGCGTATAATAAGATGCATTGCTTATGTCGTTCCTTTAATTCCGTAAGATATACGTCGAATGTTTTCCGAGTAATATTGTACATTTAAAGGATGCAAAGGAGTCGTTACGTAACACGAGAAACACATAATTTATATAGTGATAATCAATATTATAAGCTGTAGAGAATTGAAACGAGAGAATTTGAAACTACGATTATTGTGATTGATTGGTTCTTTGCATAATCTGTGTTCTTAGTGTCCCACCGTAAATCTTATTCGCGAAGATGTAAGTATATTTACGGATGACAATTCCGATACAGAGAAAGAGAGTAAGCTGGCGACGGGCGATGCCACGTGTTTGCCAAAATTTATATCAACAATTTGTGATCAAAGGGCGAGGGATTCGTTGTTGCCCAATTCAGTTTGATCAAACGACATATATGTATATCTATATACATACATACATACAGTCATACATACACATTCACAGTTAGACATGCAATGTCAAACACGTTCCAAACGAAACTATTAATTTCACGCCACGATATACGGCGTTACAGTCCCATTATTATGCCGCATTATTATGACCACTGTTGAATTTTACGATATTTTTATGATAAGTTGGCAAATTTTTATAAAAAGTGATAGAAAGATTTGTATTTCATGTGGCAATATTGTTTTTTAAATTACTGTGCATGCAATTCTAACATAGATCGCCATTTTGATATGTGTCGACTGTTTAACCACGCCGAAGTTACATATAATTTCTATTTAGAACACTTTGTCTCGTGACGTAAATTGTTAATATTATTAATAAAATATAACGGTAAATAATAAATATAAATTGTTGTTAGACATGTTAATAAAGCATAAATAAGTTAAACATAAGTCAAATAATAACTTATGTTTAACTTATTTATTTATGCTTTATTAACATGTCTAACAACAATTTATATTTATTTTGCATGTTTTGTTTGCTGTATTTTATAATAAAATATAATTGATTTAACATTGCCAAGTTGTAATTAATTGATTAGACATAAAATTGTTCAATAAATCATAATATATATTTAAAATTTAACTAAATAGAAAAGAGTGCAAAAAGATAAGGTCATAATAATGTGGCCAGGGACTGTACATGATCTACTGGACTTTTGCGAGAATCATATTCGGAGTTGTAACTTCAACGTACAAAAAAAGAAAGAAGAGGAAAAGCAGACACACTCGGAACCGAGATTTAGTCCAAGATTTTCATTGTACGGAAATTATAATTCTGTCGTGTTACGTTTTTTGAAACGTCGAAATTGGGAGATGGAAGTCGGTAGAGCGGTCATTATAAAAAAAAGTTCTTTAAACGCGCTTAAGTATATAGCAGACACTCGTTCAGGATTCCAGCGCGTGACGTGAATAAAGAAGATGATGAACGGCTGCTATTCTTGTTCCGCCGGCGGAGCACGTATCCTGATTTGACATCCATGTTTTTCTCGCGAGGTAAACGTTGAATTAGATAATTGAGAGGGAAACGCATCTCTCTCCACCTTCAGATATTTTAATCAGGACAGGGAGACAGCAATATTTTTGCTACTCGTTCGTAATTATATATCATTGATGTTAGCGGGCGTGCCGACGATGGCACGAGCGTCAGACGCGATTGCAATAATGGTTGATTAACAAAGTTGTAATAAGGAGGAATACAATCGTTATATCGATCCTGATCGTACGATCGAAACTAGTCGCCCGACAACGACGATGCAGTTGCGCTTGCGGAATATGCATTTCGATATAGTTTGGCAAATTCGTTTTACAACTCGATCGCGCGACAGCGATCCGTTTCTTGCTACCTTATCCAACTGAAAATCGAACAAGCCCTAATCTCCTAACTTAGATCCAGCGATAAAAATGACCTAGCCGTGTGCATATTTGCAAACTAGATGGTGAACGCCGACATTGTCACGAGACGATAGTAATCGAGTAAACGCAGCAAACGCGAATAAAATAATAGCTGATATTTATCGGTCTAGCAATTTAAATGCACTCTAGACGTTATTATTCTGCAGCACATCCGGGAATGTAATTAACAATATCAAAGAAGCTATTAATTTCGGTAGAATTTTTCTTACTTTTGCTTTGGACAATGTCGACGTTCGCGGCGCAATGGACAGATTTTCGCGTGTTATTACTGCTTTATATTATTCAGCGATTGTGCGAGAACGTACCTAAACCGTTTCCATGTAGATAAGCGAGGCCATTTTTTACCGCGTCTGAGAAAAATAAATAATCCCAATGAATTTTGCGTAATCACCGCAAAGTTAGAATTGCTCCGTCGAAGAAGCAGAATTGTAAATGCAAGAAAACAATATTATGATGTAATTAAGTGCAATTTTGTGACGCGAGAGGAGGACATATTCTCTCGAATGAAAAATTTACGCTCGCTTATGCATCTGGAAATGATAAGGATTTAATATTTTGACTATATATGGCGATAGAGAGGCTGAGAGAGATGAACAGGCAAGAGCATAATGCTAAAAGGAAGAGACAATTTCTTGGCGGCTCGCACTGCGATGTGCGTGCAAGTTTTTTTAATTATTCGAGTAAAAATTAGAGACAAGATAATACGGTATTTTCATGCACAGTAAAAAATTTGTATTAAATTTAACACATTTCACGTGTCCCAAACAGTTCACCCAAATTTTTGTGTTAATTTAACATAAGATGAATATGTTAGAAAGTAACACAAATATTATGTAAAAAATTAACACAAGAAACGTAATATTTTGACACAATTTAAAAGTAAATTTTTATATTAAATTAACACATTTATGATGTGTTAAATTTAACTGAAATTAGATGCTATTTTTACATTTTTAATTTAGGCGGTACCTCTGTGATATTTAACTATTTAATCTAATACAATATATAGATTTAACAGATATTTACCGTTTGAAAGAGAAAATAACACAAAATATTTGCACTTTTTTTACATATAAAATATGTAACTAGCTGTACAGAACGTATTTCTTCCGTAAAACTAACATTTATAATATATTAAATTAATGCATATTTTATTCATTTATTTTTAGAATTTATGTTTTAAAACTGCATTATTTGTTTACTTACTTATAAATTGTGCTACTTTAACACCGAGAAATGTTAAATTTTAATTTAACAAAATATTCAAATAAAACAATGACATTACGTTAAATTAACATTCGGATATGTTAAAAATTCAAAAATTTTAAAGGATTCGTTTTAATAAATATAAAATATTTTTTACTGTGTAAAAATTATATTAAACGCAAATGTGAGAAAAATATCAGAAAACGATTAATTCGTTAAACGATCCAAATTAGAATGATTGGAGAATAATTAACTCGAAAACTTTTATTTATTTCTATTGCTAAAAAATAAAATTGTAGGATAATTTATTAGAAGTTCTGTTTACGTATGTTGGGCTAGACATTTTATCATGATTATCATTTAACGTGATTATCACCTAATAAGTATCATTTCCAAAATACCAATTTCGAAAATGACAACTGTGAATTACTTTAGAGAAAACGTCGCTTAGTGCGTGCTGCGAAGAAATCAAGAGATTGAAGGACGCAGCAATGCTCGCGATCCTTCAATCGACCACTTTAATGCAGTGAGACGGATTTTTTCGATAATAGATTTCGATATCGCTGGTAGACCCTTTTCAAACGTAACACATGTAGCGACGTATAAAATGCTAAGGAGTTGTACTAACTCTCTCGTGGACGACGATCGTCATTAACTCTGCAGTAACGTTACGTTTTCCCCAGTGGTTCCTAGTCACTGCCATACTTATTAACGACGATATCATGAAGAGCGTGACCGGAGAGCTGCTAAAGGAAATTTTTGCCGAATAATATGTCGAAAAGTTAAAAAAAAAAGAACAAATACACCTCGTAATGTGTTCGCGTTATTAGCTACTAAAAGCTCTCAAGAAAAATTGGCACAAAGACTGCTGTACTGCAGGGTTTACGGGGAATCGACGAGATATCCGTTAATTAACACTGGCAAAGTGAAGCTTTATAAACTAACGTAGTGATGATGATAATGATGACGATAAAGTTCGGAACACTCGTTCGGAGGATTTGTTCGGGAACCGTTTCTATGTTCCATGTACAATCGTGAAGATCGAATTATTGGTGTCTGTAGAGGTACATATATTTTCTTACGGTATATGGTAATTAGCTGCGCTGCTTCGGCTCGTGAAGGACCCGTTATCCTTGAATTGGTCAACGGAGAAAAATCATGCTGGATTTCTAAAATGGTCGCATTAACGTAACGTAATATAATGTACAATAAAACTGTTTGACCGAGGCATATTTAATTCCGCTGTATTTAGTTATCTCAATGTATTGTCAAAAGCTTTGTAAAATGAAAAATATTTGCATTCGCAATGAGTTGGAATAATTCAAACAGAAATGCATAATGTATTTCCCTGTTAAAATTCAGAATTTACAAAATAGGTTAATAATGAAGTAAAATATTTAGATAATATATGATCCAAAAATATGATGCGAGATTAAATGAGGTGTTTACAAAATTAATTTTATGTATTCTATATTTTAATATGAGAGTATATATTCTTAACATGAGATTTTCAATTGACTGCAAATTTAGAAATCATTATTTTCGAAAGTGAAATCTTGATATAAGTAATAACCAATGAAAAATTCGCATAACTTCTATTGCGATTGTATTATGTAATAACTTTAGGCGGCATAGGTCCAACTTTATCGGAGAATAAAAAAGTGATACATTTTTTTTGGACTTAGCGCTATATGCAGATTCAAAAAAATAATTCTAAAGGACGAATTTAAGGGAACGGGCACCTCACTACAGCTAGATGTAAAGTTTCCTTAGGTACCTATTGTTTCAATGTATGAATTGTCTATGTAAAATGCTGGTACTGTTAGCAAAAAGAAGAAGAAAGCTATGTCAACGATAAGTACGCCGAGAGGAAAGAATTACTTTCGAATGATCCGGCCTTTTCGAAAGAAAAAAAAAAGCAAAAGAGAAAACGGAGGTGAGACAGAAATAATTCGACGATCTGGCGTGTCTTTTACCAGACAGATTTCCCGAATCTGACCAATCACACAGAACGTCTTTCTAGTTAGCACGTGATGACGATGATTATGAACTTGCTGAATCTACGTTTTCATGGTTCGTGAACACAATAAAACAATGACAAACAATGAACATTACGCTATTACAAATATTTATTATAAATAAGATATAACAAAAATAAATATAAATATATATATATATATTATATTGAATTAACGATGATTGAACAAGATGCAATTTTTTGGTACAATAAAACGAAAAGAACCAATATTGTGTGCGTGTATTTTATTGAATTAATCCACGTATCTATACTTTTTATGTTGACTATAGACAGGCGTGCGCTTCGTGCGTGCTACTGAGCTTTTAATATTATATATACAAATATGCATATAATATTTATTAATCGATTACACTTAACTTTCGATACACATAACTGTCAAACGCGCGATTTCCGCGATGACAGCCGCTCACGAAGTAAACGCAGCGAGAGAGCCAAATCGACATAATACGAAGTTACGCACGCGATACGATCGAGTTCCAGACAATCAATCCGCATCGCGGAAAAGAGGCAACAATGAATTCGACTATCGATTTAACATCCATTTTATTATAAGAGGAGAAGAGGAGAGGAGGAGAGGACATCGTTACACATCGTTTGACATTTTATAATAATTATTAGGGACTCATTTATGTGATTATCTAACTTATCTTTTTACATATTGTCATAATATAATACATTTAATTATCTTACGATATTTCAACGTATCTAATAGACTATTAATTAAAATTTAAAATTTTAATACCAAAATGTGATCATTACGATAGCGTTTGTAAACGAACAAAGGTGGCTAATGGTAATGGCTAAAAAAATGAAGTTCACTTAAAGTTCGAAATTAATTAAAAAAACGAAAGGCGAAAATTGAATGATGAAAAGTAAAATCAACTAAATTGTACTAAATTATGAAAATCAATAAGATAGATGACTCATTAAATATCAGGATACAAGTTCGAATAATAAGCAACATTGATTACTTCTAATATATGTTAGCAGGAACTATAAAAATTCTGATATTAAAAATTACTTCTTAAAAATTAGATTTCTTCTTAAAAATCACCTTTCATATTAAAATATAAATAAAAGTCATGTAAGGACTACGCGTTTCTCCACTAATGATAATTCTGAATTTCGTAGAAATTAGAGTTCTTGGTTCTCAGAAAACTTTAATCGTAAGAAAGACACGATCAGCTGTTCGTGTCCGAAACAAAGAGTCTATTACATATATACACGATATGATAATAACAGCAAGTTCAAATTTGTGAGATTATCGACATTGACTGATTTTCGGGATCTAGAAACATCAACAAAATAAGACTAAAGGACTTGCTCACGCATAGCTCGGAGCAGTCTTGTGCTCATCTCGGACATATCTTTAATCAATTGCCTACTGTTTCGACTTTCATTTGGTTACTATTTTTATTGGTAATTGCAAAAAATAACATTTTTCTTTTTGATAGTAGTAACTCGTTACTTAAATTCTTCGAAAAAAGAACAACCAATAACACGGGCATCTGTATATGGTTGAATCTGCAGTTTGATCAGGTAACTATTGCACTGCTAATTACTAAAGATACGCTTAAAATGAATGTATTCATATAGATAACATATAAGTGAAGTTTTCATGTGTATTCATTTGTTATAAATATCTGTAGGTTTGTTCGTGTAGCCTGCTACAATATGCTCCTACCATAGTTAAAATTCACTCGAAAATAAGCACGTTGAAATGAATAAGAGCTATGGTAGGAGTAAGTCTTAGCATGATGGTGCATACGACATAGTGGAGCATGCGAACAAACCTTATACAAATATATATGAAATAGTCTGCATGTAACTATTGATTGATAAATTTGAAATTAGCAACATTTAACACAATTACATATTTATACGGTAAGCCATTGGCTGCGTTCAGCGGATTCATCATTTGAGTGAGAGCTCGCTGTTATTGATGTATTCTTTCAGATCTGAAATGCTGATTGGATGATCTACAAAAATACACCAATAAGCGCTCACTCAACTATTGAATCCGCTGAACGCAGCCATCATTTGATTTCGCTCTGACCGTATAGACATTCCGTTATTTAGTTATGTATTCACATTATGGTCTTTAAATAAAGACTTTATTTATTTAATTATTTCTAATTTTAATCTTTAACATTTACGTAAGTAAATTTACAGTAAATCATCGAGATAATGTGTATTGGAGATCACAATTATAGACTAACAAATCTTGAAGATTATAATGAAGACTTAGTAAGTGTAAATTAAATTATTTTGTGATTTATAGAAATTAAACATTTATAGCAGCTAATATTTTTATTTCAATCATATATTTTATAAATTTAAGAATGAACGTTATATTTAAATACATTGCATGTTCTTTGATATTCTCTATGTAATTTTTATTACGACATTTCAATTATTTAACATAGATCGCTACATGTATATAAAATATTTTACTTATTTATATATGTATATATGTATCTTAGGAATTATTTGAAATAAGAAAGGATGAAATGGAACTGTGTAAAGTCATAAGAGAAGATCGATTGTTAAAACGTAATATTAATATAGAGCAAGAATTAACAGATTTAATGTACAAAGCTGCTCTTTCATCTTTCGATATTTCTATTGATGAAATTGCGAACTACATAAACTCGTCAGACGAAACATTACAATTAGTGGGAATACAGGCTTATAGAAAATTAAGTCAAGAAAGAAATTCTATAAATGATATGATAAAAGATGGCATCGTGTTACGCTGTATTGAGCTTTTAGATAGCGACAAGTATGTACTTACATGAAAAGTAAAAAGAATTATTTATCTAATTAAGTGAACTGATTCTTCATAACCGTTCATTGAGCTCTTATGCAGCATACATATATGCATACGCAAATGACAACAAATATGTTTCTAACTTCTTGGTGTTTTCAATATATATAATCATATATTACTCATTACTTCTTTTTTAATTTATTTTTTTATATATTCATAAACAAGACATAATTTCTTTAATTATATTTATACAGCACCTCCTTGCAATTTGAAGTAATATTCTTATTAAATATCATAACTTTGAGTACATCCAAAGAATGTTCTACATCACAGAATGTTATAAAGCAATGTTATGAAGCAATACCGAAATTAGTGGAGCTACTTAGGTATACATCTTCAATAGTTGCAGAACAAATAGTGTATCTCTTAGGAAATATAATTAATGATAAACCGTTTGCACGTGACGTTGCTATTGTATCTGATGCTATACCTCTTTTAATTGATTTAATTAAACCTGACATTTCGGTAAGTGACATTCTATTTAAAAACATTCTTTAACTACATTTACCTTACTTGCTTTCTTATATATTGTCAGCATTGACGCTCGAAGAGAGAGAGGAACAACAATTTTATTCCTTTGCTTAAAGAGTGTAATATTGAATAATAATAAGTGTGACAAAAACATTTTTAAAAGATATTCAATAATTGTTAATTATCAATACTAAATAATAAATGAATTTTATAATATTATGATTTTATGATGTTATGTGTACATATTTTATAATATTATATTTTTCGTCATTTTACAAAAAAAAATGAAGATAAAACTATTATAATATATCAATATTTTGGATTAAAATATTTAAATTGTAATATTCTTAATAATTATTTAAATTATAACTAATTGAAGAAACAAAATTTATGAATAGTGCTTAAAAGAGAGAAATATATATTTATTATACAGTAAATGTAGATATATATCAATGCCAATCCAAGATTATTATTAGAAACGGCATAGAAAGAAAATATATAATTCATAAAAAAATAAAATAATATGTTAGCAATGCCTGTAAGCGTTTCTAACATAAAAGCTGGCAAGTCAAACTTAACTTTTATGTCAAGTAAAATTTGAAACTATGTTTTGGTAAGTAAACAATATTTCAATATTTTCTGATACTGAGAAAATATACAGATGACATTTATGGACAGCATCTCATGGCTTTTATCTGATTTATGTCAAAGGGATTTACCTCTAAATATTGATTTGATTGAACTCGTTCTACCAGTTTTGGATCATCTGTTTAATAATGAAAATGACTACATAATCTGTAAGACATTTGTGATTTATCTGTTCTATTGTTACTTTATGTATTATGTATTTCATCCCTTGGAACAATATTATCGGATTTGTAAAAAAATCTATTTTAATGGACAATATTTGAATTAATTAATTTTCCAAATATTTCTAATAGTTTTTTTTGCGAGTTTAACAGTATTTTTTATAAGGGATTCTAATTTTGAGATTATACATATATTGCTGTTTGATCTAGCTGATACCTGCAGGATACTTTATTACTTTACTGATGGAGCCGACGATAATATACAAGCGATAATTGAAACTGGCTTTCTACCGAAAATTTTAGAGTGTTTGATATCGAATAAAGAAAATATCTATATTCCAGCATTGCTCACGATAAGAAATATAGTGGAAATTGATGATTATCAAAACGATGCTGTCATCTTTGCGGGAGGATTGTCGCGTCTTCGTACCATGTTATGGTATTATGGTGACAAGGAACATATTATTGCAAAAGAGACTATTTGGATAATTTGTAAATTGGCAGGCAACACGGATCAAATTCAAAGTTTAATAAATGCTGATTTGTTACCAATATTGATAAACGAAATTGTATATGTAAGTATTTAAGAGGATAGAAACTGGTTATACGGAAATAGAACTGATAGGTACATAGTACCAATTAGTACATAGTCTAATCTGGAGACAACACACACGGTAGTGTCTCAGCGTTAAGCCAAGCGCATTATACATACCGGATACATGCATATATAATATTTCATTACCAAATTTAGTTCGATTAAATCATTTAAAAGTTACATTTAAGGTATCTCAACTGGCTAATGTTACAAATTTAATGTCAATGTGTTTTTCAAAATTACGTACTAATCACACATTAAGGCGAATCGGAAAACAATGTTTTTACGATACGAAAGCACAATTAAAGACTTAAAAGATGCCATATTGATAATAGCAACTTTCTATGAAAGATAGATTTGACAGCAATTAGCAAAGATTTATCCTCGATTTATGTTTGCATTTTCAAATTTGAAATATTCTTATGGTTGATCGAATGATCAGTTTGGATGGGTCAGAGAGAAACCTACTAGATTGTCATCTTCATGTAGTAAGCAGTGGGATTCCTTCTATCACGAATTTGAATACGAAGACCTGCTTTTCAGCACAAACATATCATTCGAAATGATAGTTGATTTTTTCAATCTCTCAGAACAATAGTACATTGGAGTGAAAATTGCTTAAAGACGGTTTAATCTATCATTCCTTTTAATTAAGAGTCGGAAAGTTTTCTAATGTTATGACTTTCGTCTACTTATCACCGTTTAATATCATCTAATACCATTTAATCAAACAACGTATTGTAAATATACGTCGAATATAAATTTTTCATATTTTTCCGAGAATTAGACTAAATATTCATGAGTTCAGAATTCTAATCAAAACAATTTTCCGATTAAACTAAAATTTTATAGTTGTTATTTGCATTTTTCGATATATTTTTCTTATAATAAGAACAGTTTCTTTCTCGGTCACACATAATCCAATATATATCTTTAAAATTATCTGCTTCCTGCAAAACTGATATCCACTTTTTACGACGACACAGTAAACAGTGGCTAGTGGCCATGTTATCAAATCTGAGAAGACTGTGAGTGCAGTGCAAACTATACAATATATCGTAGTATTTTACAATTCTATATTCCATAACCACCTTCTTTTCGCTATGATTATGCATACAAAAAATCATACTTGTTTTAAATATTAATACAAAGTAATATTTTGATATAAAATTTTATAGATCAATGTATCGATACATTTTTTAGGGAGAAGCACAAGACATGGCCGCATTGGCTGTAACTACTGTGATGGCGAGAGCAACAGTTCAACAGTTTACACAGTTTGTGAATGCTGGTGTATTGCTAGCTCTTTGTAATTTACTTCAATCAAACAATTGTAATATTATTATTAATACTTTAACTGGTTTGACTAAAATCTTGGGTGCTGCAGAGAAAATGGGACAACTAGAAAGTCTTACAATTTTGATAAAAAAAAATGGAGGATTGAATAAAATAGAAGATCTTCAATACGACAAGAATGACCGAGTTTATAAAAAATCTTTTGCTGTACTAAAACAATTTTTTTCTCAAAGGGTTTGTACATTATTACTTTATGTTTATTTATACAAAGAATAATTTATAAAGGAAAGCCCTATTTTTCGTGGATAGTTTTGTTAGATTTTATCTAAATAGAAAAAATAAATATAATAAATAAAATTATAATTTTATTTGTATTAAATTTAACGTTATTAATCATAACATTAATTAAATAAAAATACTCGTTTTTTTCTGTTGCATAAATATAAAATTATAAAAGATGTTTCTCTTAGGATACCTTTTATACATTGAAAATTTATATATACATAAATTCCTTGTATGTTTTTTGATACCGTATATAATTTATATTCTATTATGTAATATAGTTAAGTATATCCAAAGAAGATGATCAATTGTTGGAATGTAATATTAAGACAGAACAAGAACGGCCAAATTTATCGATCGAAGTTATTCGATCCAGTTCTGTTCTTTCTGTAGACGAAGGTGTACATGAAGTTATACAAGACAATTCCAAACAAATAGATTCATTAGACGAATTACAGTTACATGTACTTCAGATTTATAATCAATTTTTATTTAGTTCAGAAATAAGTCCTGCTATAAATTATATCTTAGACAATGAGGTATTACCACTGTGTATTAAGCACTTAGATAGCGACAAGTATGTATATGAAAACTGAAAAATAATATATCGATTTAAATAAATTGTTTCTCCTTGTATTTTTGATGGATATAATTTATAAAATATAATTTCCTTATTTTTATTCTCTTAGTTTTCTCCTGCAATTTGAAGTAATGTCTCTATTAACTTCTATAATTTTGAGTACATCTATGGAAACGCGATATATTATAAAACATGAAATAATACCAAAAATAGTGAAGTTACTTAAGTCTACATCGTTTGTTGTTGTGAGTCAAGCAGTGCGTGCTTTAGGAACTACAATCGAAGGTAGACCGTATGCACGTGATCTTGCTCTTGAACATAATGCTCTATCTTATTTGATCGATTTAATTAAATCTGATATCAGAGTAAGTATAAACAATGTGTTTAGCAATATTTTTTAATTATATTTTCACATTTTTTATATTGTTATTATTAACACAAAAAAGCAACATTTTTGTTCGTTTATCTACTGAACAACTCAAAGTGTAATAAACAATTGCTAACTTTTTGTAAACGACTAAATTTTTTAAATTAATTACATTTATATTATTCATTGTTGATAGTAGCAATGCATGAGTTTTATAATATTACATTATTCATTGCAAGAAACTGATATCAATTAAACTGTGTCAGTATTTGTTTAAAACATTTAAATAGTAATATTTTTCACATTCTGCTTACTTAGTGAAATTATAACTAATTTAAGAAATTAAACTTAAATAGTATTTAAAAGGGAAAATAATAATTATGTTATATGGAAAAATTATAGCCAGCATTGACAATGTGAGCTCTTTAATAGTTTAAAGTCTAAAGTAAATAATAACTATTGATTAATATAAAATTGTATAGGAAAACGCAATCATTGTGTATTGAAGAGTTGTTTATTTCACAGATATTATAATAAGTAATAAATATTTCATATATTATATATTATTGAGAGGAACTATTTATTTCCTATCGAGAGGAATTATTTATTATTAAAGATTGAAAATATTTTCCATGAATAAGTATCTCTCTTCCTCTTCTTCCCATAACCATTTATTTTATTTGATATATCACTTCAAGAATATAGTTGTTTTTTATTTATTAGATCAAACATGTGAAATATCACATTGAAATGAAATATTCCTTGAAATACTCCTTTTTGTTTTTTTTTTTTATGGCATCTGTATTACCTTTTATCTTATATGTTTTTAAGAAGGCGCTCTGAAATACGAAATAATGATAACGATGTTTGTAAGCGCTCTTAGCACAAAAGCTAGCAAGACAAACTTAGCTTTTATGTTAAGTACTATTTAAAACTATGTTTGTTTTAATAAATAGACAATATTTCAATTTTTTTCTGATAAAACGATGCAGATGGGGCTTATGTGCAGCATCATGAGAACTTTAACTTATTTATGTGAGAAATTGGATCCTTTACTTTTTGAATTGATTAGGCCTGTATTACCAACATTTAATTGCATGCTTAATATTGAATATCAAGACTTACGTTGTAAGATATATACATTTCATCTGTTATTATATATATATATTATATAATTATTCTGAATTTAAGATTCTTTTATGTTACTGTTTGTTTTAGCTAATATTTGCAAGGTATTCTATTACCTTACCACTACTTCCAACGATAATACGATACGAGCAGTATTGGAAACTGGCATTCTACCGAAGATTGTAGAATGCCTGACGTCACAGGAGGAAAGTATCTTTTATCTAGCGTTGCACACAGTTGGAAATATAGTAAAAATAGTTAAGGTTACTGAATCGGATGCATCAATTTTAGCGGCAGGATTGCCGCAATTTTGTGCCTTGTTGCGAAATTATCCTGCCAATGAGTTTATTGAAGAGGAAATTGTTTCGATAATCATTAAGATCATTAATAACACGGAACAAATCCAAAATGTGTTAAATGCTGGTCTGTTATCACCATTGATGGAAATATTTAAGTTTGTAAGTATGTTATGCAAGCATGAATAAATCAGCCAAAATCTGCTCTAAATATTTCAATAACTGAGAAGGAAAAGACTCATTGAATCGATGTCGATTTGACGTCGAAGTGATGATTTCGATGTTGATTCGACATTTAATTTTGCTGAAAATTATAAAATCCATTTTTTCCGAGGGTATGTTTCAACTCCTAAACCTTGAGATACGCTGATAAAAAAAATATGAGTTTACGCACGGTGGCAAAAGAAAATAAAATTAATGAGTAACCACAACTGATGGGCGTGCATTTGACGGTATGGCCTGGCGGATACGCGTTTATACAGGGTATCCCACTTAATTCGACCATCTGAATATCTTTTGGTTTTTGTGATGGGAAAAATGTGTCAAATAAAAGTAGAATGGTTTCAAGGGAGATATATTTCAGTGAAGTTGTTTTTCTTCTAGGTGGAGGCGCCAAAAAGATACGAAAGTTATCTCCATTTTTTAAAATAGAATTGTATAATTTTTTTTATACAATACGATTCCTCTAATTATTCTGCATATAAAAATATTAAGTGATTTAAAAAAACCAAGTTTACGAGATTTTTTATACTTTATTCCATTTACATATAAAATTATATATAATTATATATAACATATTTTTTCTCGGGAATTCATACACTATTAAATTTTTATAATCATATCTTAATATTTTTAAGAACAGAATAATGAGATAAATCAATTGGTGAAAACAAAACACATAGTTGTTTAAAAAAATATTTATGCAAATTATGGATAATTTTTAAATAAGCACCTCTGTATTTTCTTTCCACCAATCGATTCATTTCATTATAAGTTTTAATATTAAATAACTTGTTAATTAATAACTTGTTATTACGAAAATTGGAAAGTTATAGAGGACTTTTTGATTCAGTTTAGTCCATTCTATCTATATATGAAAATTGTCTCAAGTATTTTAAGACACCCTGTATATGCACGCGCGCGTGTGTGTATATATATATATATATATGACATATGCATATGTGTTTATAGAGAAAAGGAAACGCACAAATGATATCTGGACGGATTTTAACATCTTTAATGTTGCGTGGAACAAGTCAACATTTGACCGAATTAATAAATGCTGGTGTATTGGTAGCATTTTGCAATTTATTGAAAGCTGAGAATTATGAGAACATTTTTGATGCCTTAGATTGTCTTAATAATATTTTGGGTGCCGCAAAAGGAATGGGACAAATAGAAAGATTTATCGTTATGATCAAAGAAGCTGGAGGATTAGATAAAATAAGATCTCTTCGATATCATCAAAATGAGTTAATTTATGAAGAATCTATGTTTATAATTAATTCATATTTTTCTTAAGGAGTTGTATGTTTATGAGATTTGATTATTATTTTGTAGTACATGATGATAACTACTTACAAAAAGACTTAGAGTACTCAATAGAGTCCGACTGAAACTTTTACTGAAACTAAAAACGAACACTCATTACGTGTCAGTTTCGATTGAAACCATGTAGCTCTTTTTCATAAATATTAATTTTAATATATGTAATTATTGTTTCAATAAATTATCATGTTTATGAAGAAGAAGTCAAAATTGACACACAATCGAAATTTCGGTTTCCGATTTCGGCTAAAATTTAATTATTGTTTCAATAAATTATAATATTTAAATAATAGCCTACATGCCTATATGATATATATATGTCTATATGATATGCCTATACCCAAGTAGAACACAAAAGTCATGAGGACATCATCATCTTATTTTATCATCTTATTACAGACCTCATTCGTCTTATAAGTCAATTTTTTGATATCAAATGACATCATGATGACGTCTTGTGATACCATTATGACTTAATTATGACTTCGTGTTCTACCTGGATATGATGTATAGGCATGTCTATATAAATGGCCTTTATTTTTTAATTTCGGCTTCGGTTGAAATTAACATGTGTTAATACATAACTAAGTGTTTCGGTTTAGTTTCGATAAAAGTTTCGGTCGGACTCCAGCTATCGACCAATCAAGTTTTAGAAATATTTGCGTGACAAGAAGCATTTCAATATAATTATATATATAAAGTACGTGCCTATATATTTTCTGTGTATTTACATGTATAATTACATATAAAGTTTTATATATTATAACATATGATTATATATGAGCAATTTTTGCTCATTTCTATGAAGTTTACTTTTAAAGAAAAGGCAATGCACAAATTACAATATATTTCTCTAATTTTTAATTCTTCTTATTATTTTTCCTATATATAAACAAATATTGTGTAAGAGAAAGAAAATATATATTAAGTATAATAATATATATATATATATTAATACTTTATAATATATATATAACTATAATAGAATTAAACATGCGCGAGCAACGCGTGCGCTATTTATTTAATTTCATTAAATGTGACATATATATATGTATACACATATACATATATATATCTATATATCACACATAGTAGCATTATGCAACAAATAATAGTGAGAAAAGTATTTTCAATTAACTTACACATTCTTAGCACAGTCACTAATACAATAAAATATAATTACAACTAATAATTATTAAATAATACAATAGAAAATTGAGAAAACAAATGAGAAATAACCATTAATGTAAGATACAAAACTTATTACGATAAAATAAAATTAATTGCTTAGAAATATAAACTGCTCTTTTAGTACATATACTTTCTGTATTGTCCCGTTTTATTATGAATATATAGGTCCAGAACGCGCTTTTATCTCTGAAATTCTATAATATGCGTAACGTAAAGTATATGTTAGCGCACAACAGTTGTAAGCGCGTTCTGAATACGGCCTTAATATCAATTTAAATACTCTAGATTATGTTAAACAATCGATGACCCATGGTACCCTGTGACCCATGGTGTTCCGGTTTCCCCTATATATACCTGTGAAAAAATTTTTCATACACATAATTATGTATAAATCATTACATCATTAGATATAATTACATATGAGCAATTTTTTTTACATCTTCCAAACTTGATTTTGCTAAAAAAAAAACAAAGCGAAAATTATTCTTTTGATTATTTTTTACGTTTTTTTACTTAATATTATTTCCTTTCTTATACTAAACGGTATACTTAGAAAAGCAAGAAGAATGTATGGACATGTATGGACATAGTTCATATATGATTACATATATTTATATTTATATGTAAACATATGTTCATATATGAAAAATTTTTTCATATAAACCCAGAGCTCATGTTCATACCATATATACATGTTGTACATGGTAAAAAGCTGCGCGAAACAATACAATAACATCGTTATTGTCATTAATAAGAGTTATAAAATAAGGATCTAAAAATCGATAAACGGTTAAAATATCGCATGACATTCACTCATACGAAGTTACGCACGTGATGCGATTGAGCTTTAGACCACCAATTCGCATCGCGGAAAACGGGCAACAATCGATTATCGATTTAATATTATGAGAACTTTTTTGAATACAAAAACTTTTTTTACAGAGAGAAGAAAGTTTTAACAGTACTAATCTTATTTAATTTTGAACAATGGTCTCATTTTTTGTATGTATTGCATGAATAAAAAGTCGTAATAAATAATTTTAATACATTAACTAAATTATAGCGTAGAGATCTTTGGGACATTTAAAGAATATCTAGGATAAATATCTATTTAATAGATATTTTGTGGACTCCTAGAATATCCTCGGGAAGTCTGAAGAAAAAGCAAATGATTGTCAAATATTAGCCCTAATATATCCTAAAAATGTCTTATGAGACGTCCTAAAGATTTCCATAGAATATTTATTAAGGACATCTTTTATACATTTTCAGAAAAAACTATTCGTCGGTAGTGCCAGAACGTATAAATTAACGAATTTTACTGCTCTTTAAAAGTACGAAATTTAATATTATTAATTGTTTAAACCTACATTAACAATCAAGTAGACCATCGTGATAGTTATTCATAAGCGGCGTCTAACTTCGACGGCAACTTCGATTACTTCTAACTTATGTTAGAAGGTATTGTAAAAATTTTAATATATTAAAAATTATTTCATCTTAAAAATTAAATTTCTACTTGATCAATAATCTATTAAAATGAAAACAAAAATCATGTAAATGTTACGCGTTTCTCCACTAACGAAATTCCCCCTCAATTTTGCAGAAATCATTTCTTGGTTCTCAGAAAACTTTAATACGGTTAATGTTAAGATAGTCACTGTCAAAACAAACACGCTTAGCTGTTCGTGCCTGAAATAAAGAGTTTATTATCATACGATAATAACAGCGAGTTCGTATTTGTCCGGTTATCGACATTAACTGATTTTCGGGATCTAGAAACATCAACAAATCCGAGAATAAAAGACTTGCTTACACACAATTCGGGACACTCTCGTGCTCATCACGGACATCTTTAATCAAGTGCATAGTTTTGACTTTCATTCGATAATTACTTTCATCGATATAATTATAAAAGGTAATATTTTTCTTCTTTTTTATTTTTGACACAATAGTAATAAGTTACTTAAATTCTCCGACAAAGAATAAACGGGCACACGTAGTAAAATCGGCAGCTTAATAAGGTAATTATTATACTGGCTAATTAGTAAAAATATGCTTGAAATAAATTTATTTATACAGATACTATATATATATATATATATATAAATGAAGCATGTTTATAAATTTGTTATAAATTTCCATATAAATAAATATTCAACACTTTGCGTGCAATTATTATATATGATAAATTTTAAATTAGCAACATTTAATACAATCACGTTTTTATACGGTCATCGCAGTATATACTATCTTAAAGATATTTTGTTTATTTCTAATTTTTTTTAACGTTTATGTAAGTAAATTTACAGTAAATCATCTAGACAATGTTTTCTCGAGGAGATCACGATCATGCATTCACAACAAACATTGAAGATTATTTTAAAAACGAAGTAAGTGTAAATTAAATTATTTTGTGATTTATAGAACTTACATAAGAACTTTATAGTAGCTAACATTTTTATTTCCATCATATATTTTATAAATTTGAGAATGAACGTTATATATTATGTAAATACATTACATGTTCTTTGATATTCCATATAACTTTTATTAAAACATTTCAATCATTTAACATAAATCACTACATGTACCATATATGAAATATTTTACTTATTTGATACATGTAAATGTATCTTAGGAGTTATTACAAACAAGAAAGGGCGCAGTGGAACTATGTCAAGCCATAAGAGAAGTTCGATTGATAAAACGCAATTTTGATGCACAACAAGAACTGTTTAGTTTAATGTACAAAGCTCCTTTTTCATCCGTTTTGGATTTTTCTGCAGATGAAATAGCAAGCTACATAAACTCGTCAGACGAAACATTACAATTACTGGCAATTCACATTTACAAAAAATTAGATCGAGAAAGAAATTCTATAAAGTGTATGATAAAAGGTGGCATCGTATCACGCTGCGTTGAATTGTTAGACAGCGACAAGTATGTATCCACATGAAAATTAAGAAAAGAATTTATAGGATTACGTAAATTGTTTATAACCGTTTATCGAACTCTTCTGTAGCATATATGTATATATACAGGGTGTTTCCAAATTAAATCGCAAAACTTCGGGAGCGTGTAGAGGAGTAAAAAACTAAGAAAAAAAGTCCTATAGACATATGCTCGTTTTTGCTCCGTTTCAGAGAAATCGAAAAAAAATGTTTACATTTCTTGCCATATCTAGCACCGACATATTTGATTACATTTTCCACTTTCTGTTATGAATTTGTCAGTCGCTCTTTGAAAGCCTTTAACAGTAGATGAATTTTGTCTTTTGCAATATGCCGCGTACGTATTCTAATAGTGAATATGCTGATATGGTTTTTGTATACGGTTTCTGCAACGGTAATGCTTTAAAGGCGGTGCGAGAATATGCACGACGATTTCCAAACAGAAGAGTGCCAAACCGAAGAGTGTTTATGTTGACATTTAATAGATTGCGAGAGACTGGAACATTTTCAATTCGACAAGAAAACAACCGATTTCAAGCAGCGTTACGAAGAGATTTGCAGGCAGGGAATCGTATTTTACAACATTTTGACAATCATCCTGAGACCAGCGTTCGGAATGCGTCGGCTGTATTGGGAGTGTCACCACAAACAATTTGGCGAACTGTAAAAGGAGATAATCGCTATCCCTACCACATTCAAAAAGTGCAAAATTTATTACCTCAAGATCATTGGAACAGATTGAACTTTTGTAACTGGTACCTTCAGACATGCCACAATGATATTTTATTTCCATCTAAAATAATGTGGTCAGATGAGGCAACATTTACCAGAGGTGGAATAATTAATCAAAGGAATTATGGGCTCATCAAAATCCCAGGTCTGTTAGAGAATACAAATTTCAGCAAGAGTTTTCTGTTAATGTCTGGCTTGGAATTTGGAACGACGTTTTAGTGGGACCGTTTTTTTTACCTGCAAGATTAAATGGGGACCGTTTTCTAAATTTCTTGGAGAATGAATTTTCTGACTATTTAGAAAACATCCCATTACAACAACGTACTGAAATGTGGTTTCAATTAGATGGATGCCCTGCTCATTACAGCAGAGTCGCTAGAACCTGGTTAGATAGAAAATTCCCACAACGATGGATTGGACGTGGAGGAGCAGTACATTGGGCAACTCGTTCGCCCGACTTAACGCCATTAGATTTCTATGCATGGGGTACTCTGAAGCAAGAAGTTTATTCTTCGCCTATTCAATCAGAGCAACATTTGAGAAATCGTATCGTAGCTGCAGCGAACAGAATATCGCAAGAACAGTGCCTGGCTGCTACAAGAGCCGTGTTTGACAGATGCAATGCTTGTATTGCTGCAAGAGGTGCACATTTCGAACAAAATCTTCATTAAAAAGTTTATAAATAAAATAATTAAAATAATAAATTAAATATATTTTTTTCTTTTTTCGTGATTTCCTGCGAAACAAAGCAAAAAGGAGCATATGTCTATAGGACTTTTTTTCTTAGTTTTTTACTCCTCTACACGCTCCCGAAGTTTTGCCATTTAATTTGGAAACACCCTGTATATACATATACATATACAGGATGTTCCAGAATGATCGTATTTCCTTTTACGGGCGTATTCTTCAGATAATTTTAAGACAAAAATCCTAATACGAAAATATCGAGATTACAATAATTTTTTGAATTATAAGCTAACTTTAAATGCTTATAAATCAAAAACTATTTTACTTTTATAATCTTTATTATTATTTCTGAATTCTTTTAAACATTCTAAGATGAAAATCCTAATACGAAAATACGAGGCTATAATAGTTTTCGAATTACAAACTATCTTTAACCATTATAATTCAAAAACTATTGTAGCCTCGATATTTTTGTATTAGGATTTTCGTCTCAAAATTACTTTAAGAATACATTCTTAAGAAGAAATGCGGTCATTCTGGAACACCCTGTATATGTATTTATATATACATAAGCCAATGATAATAAATATGTTTCAAACTTCATGATGTTTTCAATTTAATCGTATATTATTGACCATTTCTTTTGTGATTTATTTCTTCATGTATTCATGAGAATAAGACATAATTTTTTAAATTCTATTTATATAGCATCTACTTGCAATATGAAGTAACATCTTTATTAATTACTATTACTTCGAGTTTATCCGAAGGATCGAAGAATTTTATAAAATATGAAGCAATACCAAAGTTAATAAAGTTACTTAAGTCTACATCTTCAATTGTTGTGGAACAAGCAGTGTATGTCTTAGGAAATATAATTGATATTCCCTATGCATGTGACCTTGCTCTTAAATATGATGCTCTATCTCTTTTAGTTGATTTAATTAAACCTGATATTTCAGTAAGTGACATTTTATTTAGAAATATTCTTTGACTACATATTTATCTTGCCTGCTTTTTTATTGTCAGCGCTGATACTCAGAAACAACATTTTTATTCGTTTGTTTAGAGAGTCAGTATATAAACGTTATTTGTAATCAAATAGTAATAAGTGTGATAAAAACATTTTTAAACGACATTTAGTAATAATTAATCATATAATACTAACAATGAATAAATTTTGTAATATAATATTATAAGATATTTTGCATCATATTTGTAATTTATAATATTACTTTGAGTTATATATATAATTTTGTATTATGCTTTCTAATATATCATTGTTTTTATAATATTATATTCTTATCGTCATTTTGCGAAAAACTGAAGGTAATTAAATTATATCGTTATTTTGGATTAAAATATTCGGATAGTAATATTCTTAATATTACGTTTAATTATTTAAATTATAACTAGAAATGAGATTTATAAGTAATACTTTAGAGAGAGAGAGAGAGAGAGAGAGAGAGAGAGAGAGAGAGAGAGAGAGAGAAATATATACTATACAAATGTAGATATATCTATACATAGCAATGTCAAACTAAGCTTCTTATAGAGACAGCATAGAAAGTAAATATAATAATTCATAAAGAAATGAAATGATACGTTAGCAAGCGTTTGTAAGCGTTTTTAACATCAAAGCTAGCAAGTCAAACTTAGCTTTTATGTCAAATAAAATTTTAAAACTATGTTTTATTAAGTAGACCATATTCCAATATTTTTTGATACTGAGAAAATATGCAGGTGACATTCATGGACAATATCTCATGGGTTTTATCTAATTTATGTCAAAGGAATCCACCTTTAAATCTCGAATTGATTAGACCTGTTTTACCAGTTTTTGATCGTCTGCTTAATAGTGAAAATAACTACATGATCTGTAAGATATTCGCGATGTATCTGTTCTATCGTTACTTTATGTATTATGTATTTCATCCCTTATGGAAAAATATTTATATTTATTATATTAAATATCAGATTTGTGAAAAAACTATTTGAATGGATATTGTACAATATTTAAATTCAGTAATCTTCTAACTATTTCCAATAGCTTTTCGCGAGTTTAATAATATTTTTCCATAAGAGAGAGAGGGATTCTAATTTTGAAATATTTATATTGCTGTTTAATCTAGCCGATACCTGCCGGATACTTTCTTATCTTACTGATGGAGCCAACAATAATGTACAAGCGATAATGGAAATTGGTTTTCTACCGAAAATTTTAGATTGTTTGATGTCGAGGTTAAAAAAAATCTTTACTCCAGCATTGCTCATCGTAAGAAATATAGTGGAAATTGGTGATGATGCTCAAAGGGATGCTGTCATCTCTGCGGGAGGAATGTCGCGTCTTCGTAGTTTGTATTGGTATTATGTTTACAAGAAAGACAATATTGCAAAGGAAACTATTTGGTTAATTTATAAAGTGGCAAGCAATACGGACCAAATCCAAAGTGTAATAGATGCTGATCTGTTACCAGTAATGATAAACGAAATCCTATTTGTAAGTATTTAATAAGAATGAAATATTGATTATGGAACTAGTAACTAGTACATAATACCAGCAACTATTATACTTAGTACATAATTTAATTTCATACCGGATACATACACGAATTTCATCACCAAATTTATGTCTAAATTGTAAGCAGAATCGTAAGGCTCGTAACATGTTCCTGTAAGACTTGTAAGAATTTTTTTAAGTGCTTATACCTTTATACAATATTTTTGGAGATAGCATCTTACTAGCTATAAAATTTACAAGAAATTGTAGATATTTACGAATATAATACGTTTTACGATACATACGCATAAAATTAGAATACTAGTCATAAGATCTTATACAAGTTTTACGTGAACACGTGATGACTCTTAAGATTCTGCTTAGAATTGATACATTAGTTCAATTATATAATTGGAAGCTACATTCAAGGCCTCTAAGCTATGGACTAAAGTTATACATTTGATATCACTATGCTTCTCAAAATTACATACAGAGTACACCCTAAAGTAGATCGGAGAAAATGTTTTTACGATATGAAAAACATATAGGATTAAAAGGTATCATTCAATGCCTAGATAATAGGTATTAATAAAAAGTTTCAAGTTAGTTGGAGAATGGTTTTGACTGAAATTTTGAGCTCGAACTATGATGATTTAGCTTAATTTATAGAAAAATATGAAAGTATATGTTATATCCAACATATTTACGTAATTTATTGATTTAAATTGTATCAGATAATCGTAATTAAGTACGAAATTATAATTAGAAAACTATTTAACCATTAACTGAAGAGAGATTCACAATTTCAAATACACATATAAATTGTGAATAAATCTTCGTTAATTACTTTGGGCTGGTCTATAATCACAGTCTATAATTGTAAAAACAATTTTTTTTCCAATCCATCCTATTCACACCTGTAAAAGTGTCAGCTTCCTGCAAAACTGATATGCAATTTTTACGACACAGTAAACAGTAATGAAACTGGTATAGCGGTGTAGTCACATCTAAGCAGACTGAATTTAGCATAAACTATACCTACAAGATATCGTATTATTCTACAGTTTTATATTCCATAACTACCTCCTTTCGGCTATGGTTATAACAAAAAATCAGACTCGTTTTAAATATTAATATAAAGTAATACAAATATTTTGATACAAAATTTCATAGATCAATATATCCATAAATTTTTTTTAGGGAAAAGCAAAAATAATAGCCGTATATGCTGTAACTACTATGATAACGAGAGCAACAGTTCAACAGTTTACTCAGTTTGTGAATGCTGGTATATTACCAGCTCTTTGTAATTTACTTCCTTCAAATAATGATAACAATATTATTAATGTCTTAATTGGTCTGACTAAAATCTTGCATGCTGCAAAGAAAATAGGACAAGTAGAAAGTCTTGCCATTATGATAAAAAAAATTGGAGGATTAGATAAAATAGAAGCTCTTCAACACCATAAGAATGAGATAATTTATAAAAAATCTTTGGCCATAATAAATGCGTTTTTTTCTAAAGAGGTTTGTACATTGTTATTTTATGTTTATTTAAGTCGAAAACAATTTATATAGGAAAGTCTTATTTTTTTATTTTATTGTTTTTCTAAAGGATTTTAAATTTTATCTGAATAGAGAAAACATATTATAATTTTTATTTGTATTATAATTAATATTAATTAATAATACAAATAAAATTTATAATATATGTTTTACATATTCTTAATTATAATTTTATTTGTATTAAAATGAACGCCATTGTTCATAATATTAATTAGATAAAAATTTCCATATATGTATATATATATATATGTGTGGAACTATTCAACGTATTTAAAATTATAAAAGATGTTTCTTAGGATATCTTTCATATATTTAAGATTTATATATAAATATCTTGCATGCTTTTTGATATCATACATAATTTATGTTCAATTATGTGATGTAGTTATGTACATCCAAAAAAGATGATCAATCATCAAAATGTAATGTTTAGGCGGAGCCAGAACTTCCAAGTTTATCGACAGAAGCTGTTATTCCATCTCCTCTTTCTTCTCTTTCTGTAGATACAACTGTACATAAAATTGTACAAGACCTGACACAATCGTCAGACGAAGTATTACATATACTAGCAATTGAAGTTTATAGCGAATTATTTAATTCAAAAACAAATCCTTCTGTAAGTGATACCTTAAAAAATGATGTATTATCACGCTGTATTGAGCTCTTAGATAGCGACAAGTATGTATATGAAAACTGAAAAAATGATTTATCTATTTAATTGAAATGTTTCTTCATATATTGTACAATGGTAGATATAATATTTAAGATATAATTTTTTTATTTTTATTTAGTCCTGTCTTGCAACTTGAATTAATATCCTTGTTAATTGCTGTAACTTTGGATACATTTTCCAAAAAAGCACAGTATGTTATAAAAAATGGACTAATATCAAAATTAGTGAAGCTACTTAAGTCTGCATCATCTAATGTTGTGGAAAAAGCAGTGCATGGTTTAGGAATTATAATCGAAGACAGACCATATGCACGTGATCTTGCTCTTGAACAAAATGCTCTACCTTCTTTGGTCGAATTAATTAAACCTGATACCCCAGTAAGTGAATGTAATTAATAATATTCTTTAATTATACTTTCTTACTTTTCATTATTATCATTATTAACCTTCAAAAACAACATTTTTTTCCGTTCATTTAAAAAATGTATGAATGAAATTCGCATACTGAACAATATTAAGTGTAATAAATAATCACTAACTCTTTGTAAGCGATTACATTTTTAAAAGAAATTACATTTATATAATTTATTGTTAATAGTAGCCATAAATCAATTTTATAATTTTACATTTTTCTCTTCTATGGAAGAAAATGAAGATAATCAAAATTATTTGATTTAAAACATTTAGATAGAAATATTTTTCACATTCTGTTTATTTAATAAAGTTATAACTAATTTAACAAATAAACTTAAATAGTGCTTTTTAATGCTTTTTAATACTGCAAAGTAAATAATAATTATTAATAAATATATAAAATTATATAGGAAAGTGTAGAGTTATTCATTGTAAAGAGTGGATACTATAAAGTATTTTAAAAGATTTTAAGGGGTGAGTCTTTATACAAGTTTAAGCTGAAAATTTCATGCGACTATATGTCCGAAACGGCTTAGTTTCAAAGATACATGTTGATAAATTGAGGAAAAATTTCGTTTTTTTTTCAAAAACTTCGAAAACCACTCAAGTGTTATTTTGGTTTTTCCAAAAATTTCGAAAACCACTCGAGTTATATTGCAATTTTAAACATACAGAGTTTCATCAAAGTAACTCGAGTTTTTTGAAATTTTTGAAAAAAACAAAACATTTTTTTACTAGATATTCTGTATCTTTAAAATTAAGTCGTTTCGGATATGAAGTTTTCGTCTTGAATTTGTATGAGAAATCACTACTTAAAGTCTTTTAGAGTAGTTAGTACCCACCCTGTATATTGAAGAGTTATTCCTTCTACAATTATTGTAATAAATGATAAATATTTCAACAATGATAATCTCAAATATACTATTCGTATGAGAGTAATTATTTATTATTTAAATTTCAATATAGTTAATCTATAAATAAGTCTCTCACTCTTACTCTTCTCTTGATAATCATTTATTTTGCTTGATATCAGGTCAACATCATGGTTTTTTTTCATTTATTAGGTCAAATATATGGAATATGTTCATATTGAAATGAAATATTTCTTGAATTACTCTTATTTTCTTTTTTTGTTAGCATCTGCTAACAAAATTAAATTTTATCTTATATGTTTTTAAGAAATCGCTCTGAAATACAAAACAATGATAACGATATTTGTAAGCGCTCTTAGCATAAAAGCTAGCAAGATAAACTTAGCTCTTATGTTAAGTAGAATTTTAAAACTATATTTGTTTAAGTAAGTAGACAATATTTCAATATTTTCTAATACTGATAAAACGATGCAGGTAGGATCTATGTGCAACACTGTAAGGACTTTAAGTTATTTATGTAAAAAATTGAATTCAGCTTTATCTCTTGAATTGATTGAGCCTGTTCTACCAATACTTAATTACCTGCTTAATAATGAAAATGAAGTTTTACGTTGTAAGATATTCACGTTTTATCTATTATTTTATATATTGTGTAATTTATTCTAAATTTTTAAGATACCTTTATGTTGCTGTTTGTTCCAGCCAATACTTGCATGATGCTCTCTTACATTACTTGTAAATCCAACGATAACGTACGAGCGATATTGGAAACTGGTATTTTACCGAAAATTTTAGAATGTCTGACATCGAAGGAGAAAAGTATCCTTATTCCAGCGTTGCACATAGTTGGAAATATAATAGAAATAGATGAGGCGTCTGAATTGGATGATTTAGCGATACATTTGCCACATTTTTGTGCCTTGTTACAGAATCATCGCGCCAATGAAGTTATTGCAGAGAAAATTGTTTCGATTATCTTAGGAATGATTAATAATATGGACCAAATGCAAAATGTGTTAAATGCTGGTCTGTTACCACCAGTGATGGAAATATTTAAGTTTGTAAGTATGTTTAGGCAAACCTAAAAAAATCAGCCGAATATCTGTTCTAATTATTTTTGAACTTAAATAAATAGAAATACAAAATGTGCGATTCATTATTTATATTTGAATGTATTCATGTTCATATTCTATTATTTATTGATTGAACTGGAAAAATCAGAAGCGCAAATTTGTAAATGTCGAAATGAGTTCATTTTTATTCATTTCAATTCATTCTCTTTTGCTGTACTATTAGTATAAATAAAAAATAAATAAGAAGCCTCTGAGAGCCGACATTTAAAAGCCGGTTTAAGCCATTTTTCATCAGATCAAACATGTATTAAGGAAAATCGAAACTTTGATTTAAGAATCGTTCACTAGCGACCTCTAAATCTTAATATTTTTTGATAAAAATTTTGGGGTGTTCTTTTGATATGAAATGAAGCTTTTGAACTGAGAGGCGATTAAAAAAATATTTTCTTTTTTTCTTATCAGTCTAATACATATACATACATGTACATGCATATTTGTTTATAGAGAAAAGGAATGGTTCAAAAGATGGCTGGATCGATTTTAATGGATTCAATCTCGTGTACGACAAGTCAACATCTGATTGAATTAATAAATGCTGATGTATTGTTAGCTTTTTGTAATTTATTGGAAGCGAAGGATTACGAGCATGTTATTAATGCTTTAAATGGTCTAAATAATATCTGGGATGTTGCAAAGAAAATAGGAGAAAGAGAAAGACTTTTTACTATAATCAAAGAAGTTGGAGGATTAGATAAACTGAAAGCTCTTCAATATCATCAAAATGAAATAATTTATGAAAAATCTATGGTTATAATTAGCTTATTGTTTTCTTAACGAGTTTGTATACTTATTTTATGTTCGTAAATCGAAAACTGTTTACATTAAAAATTATTGTTTCTTTTCATAAACATTTTATCTAAATAAGCAAAATATGTAAAATAAATTGAATTATAATTTTTATTAACGTTATTGAATTAAATAATACTAATCATATGTTATTAATGTAATAAACTAAACTGGAATTTAATAAATGAACTGTTTTTAAAATATTGAAGAATTTCTCCTGAATTTAAAGAGATTTCTGATTGAATTTAACAGATTGAATGATGGATTGATTAACAAATTTAATTTCTTGATGAATTTATTTTTGAATTCGTACTGAAAGACTATTATAGTTAAGGGATCAATTGATATACGACATGATTATTATTTTGTAATACATGATAATAACTACTTACAAAAAAATTAGAATAGATATCAACCAATTAAGTTTTAGAAATTTGCGTGACAAAAAGTAATTACTAAAAAGCATTTACATTTAATCAAATATAAATATAATTATACACGGCGTCTCAATAATTTTATTACAAAGTTATATCTCCATTACCGTTAATGATATATGGAAATACCTAAGAAACAAATTGTTTGATTCGAAGGGACACATATTGTGATTGGGAATCATTTTTTTTCAATGTCATATTTTTAGTTATTTCAAGTTCATCGATTTTTTTGAAACGGGGGGGGGACTACATATTTCTATTATTATATATCGTATAATAAGATCGGAACGAATCCAATGATGAATCTTAGAATATCTTAGGGAAAATCTGAGGAAAAGAGCAAATAATTGTCAAACAGACTCGATTAGCTGTTCATATCCGAAGTAAAGAGTTTAGTACATGACGCGATAATAACAACGAGGTCGAACTTGTTAGTTATCGACATTAAGATAAACAAATAACACGGACATACTCAAGGGAATCTGCAGTTTGATCAGGTAATTATTGCACTGGCTAATTAGTAAAGATATGCTTGAAATCAATTTATTTATAGATATTATATAAATGAAGATTTAGTCATGTTTATTTATTTATTATTAGATATCTATAGAAATCATTATATTTATTATAGAAAGTAAATTTGAAAATAAGAACATTTAACATATAATCACATTTTCGTATTATACGTTGGTCGTATTATAATATTATTCGAGATTTCTTCACATAATCAAATGTAAATTTTGATTAAGTTAATTATAGACGCAGTTTACCAGATTCGGATGTATAAACTATTTCTCACTGTACTCTAATTTATCATGTTATCGTTATGAGTATATTTCTAATTTGAATCTTCTTTTTAAACATTTATGCAAGTAAATCTACAATAGATCGTCGAGACAATGTCTTTTCAAGAGGATGACAGCAATAGACACATAGCAAAATTTAAATTTGATATGATTGCATTTGATAAGGCATACGAAGTAAGTGTATATTAAATTATTTTCTAATTTATAGAACTTGAATAAAAAATTTATAGCTGATAATATTTTTATTTCAGTTCTCTGTATTTCATATATTTTAGATTTAACTTTATACGTAAATATATCTTTTTCGATATTATGTTTAATTTATGTTAAGATATTTCAATTATTTAATATACACTACTACATGTGTATGAAATATTTTACATGTACTATATATATATATTTTTTAGAAGAAACGAATAGAAAATGATGCAGTGCAGTTATGTAAAGCCATAAAAAATAATCGATTATTTAAACGTAATTTTGATCTGAAGCAAGAACTAATAGATTTAATGTACCAAGCTGCTCTTTCACCCAAGTCTGATCTTTCTATAGATAAAATTGTGAACTATATAAATTCGTCAGATGAAACATTACAATTACTGGGAATCCAAGCTTACGCAAAATTAAAACAAGAAAAAAATCCTTCTATAAATGATACGATAGAAGATATATTACCACGCTGCATTAAGCTTTTAGACAATGACAAGTATGTATACAAAAATCGAAAATATGATTTATCAAATTAAGTAAATTCTTTCTTCATATATGAATTATTTATGAATAAGAAATAATTTCTTTATTTCTATTCAGTACTTCCTTGCAATTCCAAATAGCATCTCTATTAGCTATCATAACTTCGGATACAGTCAAACAAATGCAGTTTGTTATAATGTGTGAAACAGTATCAAAATTATTAAAACTACTTAAGTCATCGTCTATTGTTGCGGAACAAGCAGTGCGTGCCTTAGGAAATATAATTGAAGATAAACCGTGTGCACGTGACTTTGCTCTTAAACATAATGTTCTACCTCTTTTGGCAGATTTAATTAAATCTGATACTTCAGTAAGTGATATTTGATAATATCTCTTGATTATATTACTCTTGATTATCTCACTTGCTTTCATATTGTCAGTATTGACAATATGATTCACAAAGAGAAGCTACGAACTGTCTCAATTTCTATGAAACTTAGCGAGCATATATATTGAGTGTTCCTTCCTAATATATAATAATATTATCCATCAAGAAATAGAAATACAAATTAAAAAGTTAATTAATATTTATTATCTTGAAAATAATTTATTGTCTGCGCCTAAAAGAGGATAATATTATATCAGGAAGGAACATTCAACGTGCTCGCCAAGTTTTTTAGACATTAGCGTGTTTGGTGTGACAAAATATTTTTAAAACCACCTACATTCAATAATAATTGATTGTTAATACTAGTAATGAATGATTTTTGTAATATTATACTTCTATTTTTATTGTAAAAAAGTGAAGATAATCGAATTATGTCCGTTGGAACATTTAGATAGTAATATTCGTAACACTTTAATTACTTAATTAAATTATAACTAATTTAAAAAATAGTATTTAAATGGAGAGAAAAATGTTATACAAAACATGTGTTTGAAAGAGAGAAATGTATATTATACAAAACATGCAACTAGCATTGATAAACCGCTTGTTAGTGACTGTGTAGAAACTAAATAATAATTATTTATAAAGAAATAAGATTATACATATACGAAAGTACAGAATATTTCATTATATATTAAGGAACGGTTTATTTCACAATTATTATAAATTTCTTGATATATAATAAAAACCTCAAATCTGCTGAAATATATATCTGAAGAAAATTAATTAAATAATCTTTTTCAAAGAGAGAGAATTACTAGCTTTTTTTCACAATATTTTATTTTATCTGATAACAATGTGAGATCATAATTCTTTTTATTTATTAGATCAATTATATATATGGAGTATACATTCATATTGGAATGAAATATTTCTTGAATTTTAACTTATTGTTGTTCTTGAATTTAGTTTTGTTTTTTTACTTGTTAGCAATTAGCATTTTAAATACTAATATTTGTGTTGGGCAATTAAAAGTGCTTACAATTTTCTTGCACTACCTCTTCTAAAAAAACGTATAAACGGGTAATAATAATGTATTTTTCCTAGGAAATTTCCTAGGAAATTATAACATATTTTTATCAAAGTGCTTTGAAAGATGCTATGATAACGATGTTTGTAAGTTTTTTTAACATAAATGTTAGCAAGACAAGTTTAGCTTTTACGTCAAGTAGAATTTTAAAACTACGTTTCTTCTAATAAGTAAACAATATTTCAATATTTCTGATTCTGATAAAATATGCAGGTGACATTCATGGACAACATCTCATGGCTTTTATCTAATTTATGTCAAAAGAGTACACCTCTAAGTATTGGATTGATTAGACCTGTTCTATCAGTATTTGATTGCATGCTTAATAATAAAAATCAATACATAATTTGTAAGATATTCGCGTTTTATCTGCTTTATCGTTATTTTATATATTATATAATTTATTCTAATTTTTAAATATACTCGTAATATCCCTGTTTGTTGTAGCCGACATCTGCCGGACACTCTCTTATCTTACCAATGGATCCAACGATAATGTACAAGCAATAATAGAAACTGCAGGCATTCTACCGAAACTTTTAGAGTGTCTGACGTTGAGGAAAGAAATTATCGTTATTCCAGCATTGCGTACAGTAGGAAATATAGTGACAATTGGTGATGATGCACAAAAGAATGCTGTAATATTCGCGGGAGGATTGTTACATCTTGGTAACGTGTTACGATATTATTTATGTGCCGATGAGAAAGATATTGTAGAGGAAGCTTTTTGGGTAATTTTTAAAATAGTTGGTAATACAGACCAAATTCAAAGTGTAATAAGTGCTGATCTGTTACCACTACTGATAGGAGGACTTCAGTTTGTAAGTATGTTTCTTATATTCTATTCTCGTGCATACACAAGAAAATCAGCCAAATACTTATTTTAAATATTTTGATAAAGAATATTATGATAAATACATCCTGATATAGATAAATATATCCATAATTTTTTTTTTTAGGGAAATGCACAAGTAATAGCCACATGGACTGTAATTGCCTTAATAACTGGAGGAACAATTCAACATTTGATCCAATTAGTGCAAGCTGGCGTATTACAAGCTTTTTATAATTTACTTGAATCAAAGGATTATCTAAATATTATTAACGGCTTAATTGGTATGGCTGAAATCTTGGGTGTTGCAGAGAAAATAGGACAAGCAGAAAAACTTGCCATTATGATACAAAAATTTGGAGGATTAGATAAAATACAAGATCTTCAATATCATCAGAATGAACGAGTTTATGAAGAATCTTTGGCTATAATCAACGCGTACTTTCCTCAAACGGTTTGTACATTTATTTAATGTTCATAAATGAAAAAAACAATTTATGTAGAAAACTTTATTTTTATCATAGATAATTTTACGTTTTTCTAAATAAGCTAAATATATTATAAATATTGTATTGTATGGTATTAATCATATTATTAATTTAATAAAAATATTCATATTCCAACAAAAATGAGAAGTTACTTTTTAAGGATATCTATTTCATATATATATTTAATATTTAACTTTATGTGTACTGAGAAAAAATATAGTCAATTTCAATAAATTAGTTGAAATATTTAATAAATATTACTGCAAACTAATTATTAAATATAAAGATATATTTATTTAGTACAAGAACCATTAATTTGATTGAACAATCATTTTTTTATTGAACAAATATTTATTTATTGCAAGTTTAGTTGGCAATATTGAACTAAATGTTTATTAAAATTGACTATGTTTTTTTCTTAATGCATAAATAGCTTTTTGATTGTATATATAATTTTTATTAAGACATTTCAATATTGAGAATGTTATTACATAAAGTTACTCATTACTAATTTTAAATAAAAAATAACAATACTTTTTTTAATTACTTCTTTATAATGTTAAAATAAAATATATATTAGGTTTAGAAATTATATACATTATTTAATAATCAATATTAATTCATATTAATCAATATAATAAATATTAATTGTAAAAATCAATATTAAAACTTAAAATTTAATTTAATCTATATAACAAGTTTTTCTTTACATTAAACTTATATCTAATACGTATTTGATAATTGTTTATATTAATATTTTTATTTTTTGTATGCTTTAGGAAATTAGATGATCGTAATTTTAAACGTAGATTTTGTTAAAAATATTTAAACATTGTTTTTAAACATTAATTAAATGTCGTTATTAAAAGTGCATTCCAATACCCACTGCCAATACTGAAAATTTATAGTTTACGTTACTTATATACAGATTTTCAGTATTGACAATGACTATCAAAATGCAGCTTAAGATACAAAATATTTGTCGATATTTACATTTTTATTGTAAAATATTTCTAGTCAATGAAAAATAATGCGATCTATTGAATAGTTATATAGATAAAAAGGGATTAAGTCACAATAAAGTAATATATGAATTCATTATCGTTACTATAAAAATGTAACGATGTTATCATTACCGTTGCAGACACAAAAAAGTAATGATTGTTATCGAAAAAAAATAATTGAAAATAATAACGCGTTTCTTCCCAATCCTTTATTTTAATTATTTAATATATCGCTACATGTAGATATGCAAAACATTTTACGTTTATATTTACATGTTTCCTAGGAGGCACGAATAAAAGAGGACGCATTACCAGTACAGCTATGTAAAGCCAAAGAAGATGATCAATTGTCAAATTGCAAACTTGATACACAGCAAACATTATTAGATTTAATAAACAAAAATGTTACATTAACTTCTTGTCTTTCTATAGAAGAAATTGTAAATTACATATACTCGTCAAACGAAACATTACAATTCGTGGCAATTCAGAATTACAAAACCTTATTACATAAGTCTAGGAATGATATCGAAGATAACATAGTATCACGTAGTATTGAGCTTTTAGATAACTATCGCAAGTATGTATATGAAAATTTAAAAAATTTGTCGATTTAAGAAAATTGTTTCTTCATATATTTATGAATAAGATATTATTTCTTTATTTTTATTTAGTTTTCGCTTACAATTTGAAATAATACATGTATTAACTAAGATGAGTTTGGGTACATTCAAACAAAAGCAGAGTATTATAAAACATGGAGTAATATCAAAATTAGTGAAGCTATTTAAGTCCACAGTGCCTTTTATTACAAGAAAAGCAGTGACTATTTTAGGAAATATAACAAAAAATATACCTTATGCACGTGATATTGCTCTTAATAATGCTGTTCTACCACTTTTGGTCAAATTTATTAATTCTGATACCTCAGTAAGTGATATTATATTTAATAACATCCTTTAATTACATTTGTCTTACTTGCGTATTGACACTCAGAAACAACATTTTTGTCAATTTGTCTAGAGAGTGTATAAACTCTATTTACAAACCGAAGAGCAATTAATACCTAGTGTGATAAAAACATGTTTTTAATCTTCCAGCGGGCGTGCACCCTTTCATAACGGGAGCGGGCGCGCCAGTGTACAGAGAACACCGTAGAATAAGACTGAAAATTCGAAAGGTTAAAGCATGATATCATCAAATAAACATTATGCGATGAAAGTTTATAATATCTAAATGATCATTTATTTAAAAAAATAAGTGTTACATTATTAGAAAATGGATTAATGAACAAGTTTTATTCGCTTTCAGTCATATTATAATTATTGCAAATAATAATTGTAGTCGAATGTTTTTTGCAAGTAAAATGAAAACATGTGTTGCATTTGAGGATGGTGGTTGTATTTTTGTACAACTTGCACCTCCCTCGCTTTTCATCGGTATTGAGCGATTCCTATATATCCTCCACAGGAACATTTTTCTGAAAAAATACCCTGATATTTTAAATATCGATTCTACGTAAACAACATACGTTAACAGAATGCGATTTGAGCGAATCGATAGCCCGAAAGACACTGAAGGAATACCTTGGGAAACCCAAATCCAAAAAATAGATTTTACCTGTATCCCCTCCATAAAACCGACGCGCATGTACGGAGAACACCCGCTGGAAGGTTAAATCGATTGCATTTAATAATAGTTAATTCTTGATACTAATAATAGCAATGAATGAATTTTTAATATTATATTTGTATCTTTATTACAAAAAAGTGAAGATGATTAAATTATGTCTGGTATTGATTTGAAAATAGAATAATATAATATTCGTAACATTCTATTACTTAATTAAATTATAATTTTATAAATATGATATAATTAAATTGTAGCTTAATTATATATTAGATATAATTTAAGAAATAGAACTTTAAGTGTGTGTGTTTAAAAGAGAAATTATGTACTATTCCAAAAATATAGCTATTCATGTGTGACAAATTTGTCTTTACTAATGACTGTATGTAGAATGTAAATAATAATTATTCATGAAGATATATTCTACAATTATTAATTTATTATAAATAGCTTTTTGTTTTACAATTATTACAAATATCTTGATAATCAAAATCTCAAATATATATTCATTCGAGAGAAATTAAATTAGTTATGATTAAAATTTAAAAATTATTTTCTATAAATACTTCTCTTTCCCATCTCTTTATAATATTTTATTTTATCTGATAATACAGTTTGAGATTATAGCTTTGTATTTTGAATTTGTTATATGAGAAATGTCCAAATAAAATAAAATACTTTTTGTTCTTGAATATCTCTTTTCTTCTTCTTTGCTTGTTAGCATTTGAATTAATAATATTTGCGTTTATCTAATGTAAACGAGTAAGAATAATGTATATTTTTGGAAATTTACATGTTTTTATAAAATTGCTTTGAAGTATTAAACAACGCTAATGATGTCGGCAAGAGCTTGCTTTCAGTACAAAAATTAATAATACATACTTAGTTTTTATGTTAAATAAAGTTTTAAATCTGTTTCTTTTAATAAGTAAATATAATTTCTCAATATTTTCTGATATTTATGAAATATGCAGATGGTACTCATGCGCAACACCGTAAGGACTATGTTTCATTTATGTAAAAAATCAGATCCACCATTATCCCTTGAATTGATTAGACCTATTCTACCAGTATTTCGTTATCTACTTACTGTTCGAAATCAAAGGGTAATTTGTAAGTTATACATGTTTTATTACTTTATATATTATGTAATTTGTTGTAACTTTGAGATGCTATAACGCTGTTTGTTCTAGCCAATACCTGCTGGATGCTGTCTTATCTTACCGATGGATGCAATGAAAACATACATGCGTTATTGGAAATTAGCATTCTACCGCAAGTTTTAGGGTGTCTGATGTCGCAGGAAAAAAGTATCTTTATTCCAGCATTGCGCACAGTTGCACATATAGTAGAATCGGGTGATACTTACGAAACAAGTGCTGTAATTTCCGCTGGAGGATTGGCGTATCTTTGTACCTTTTTGCGAAATCGTCCTGTCAACGAAAATATTGTAATGGAAACTGTTTCGGCAATTTACAAAATGGTTGATACCGAGGAACAAATCCAATGTGTGATAGATGCTGGTTTATTACCACCATTGATAGAAATACTTAAATTTGTAAGTATATATTTATGCATACACGAAAAAATCAGCCCAACATCTGCTTTAAATATTTTGTAAAAAAATTTTGTAGATAAATTCATTTTTTAATATTTTTCATTTTTTAATTAATTTTTTGTAGGGAACAGATGAGGCACGACATATAGTCGCATGGGCTATAATGGATATAGCAGCGGAAGGATCAATTGAACATTTGAACGAATTAGTAAATGTTGGATTGTTACCAGCTTTTTGTAATTTATTGGAAACAGGGGATTATAAGGATGTTATCAATGCCTTAGATTGTCTAACTGAAATCTTGCGTGCTGCAGAAAAAGTAGAACAATTAGAAAAATTTATTGTTATGATTAAAGAAGCTGGAATAATAGATAAAATAGAAACTATTCAATATCATCACGACGATCTAATTTATAAAGTATATTCAACTACATATATTCTTCTAAAAGGGTTTGTACTTTCTAAATCAAAAATAGAGTTCATTTAAAAAAATTTTGTTTTTTTCGTAGACAGTTGTTATATAGATTTTATCTAAATAAGCAAAATATATCATGAATAAAACAATATTTTTATCTGTATTCAATTGAATGATATTTTAATCGTATCATTATTTTAATAAAACAAATAGAAAATTTTTTTAGGATGAAAAAGAGCTTTTCGATTAAAGAGGAATCTGATGGGCAGAAAGAATTTGATGTGAAATTAACAGATTTAGTTTCTGAATAGAAATACATCTTTGAATTCATTCTCGGATTGAAAGACTATAAGCTAAATAATTTATCAATATAATTTCCAATTTATACATGACAGCTGCCTATAATATGAATTAGAACATTTATCAGCTAATTAAATTTTAGCAATACTTACATGACAAAAATTCTTTTTTTAAGTTTTAGCAATCGAATCTTAGTCAATTTTGAACAATGATCTTATTCTTTAATGTTATAAGAATAAATTCGTATTCAATAAACTAGTTTTAATACATATTAATGTATGTTAAAAATTCAAAACGTACTCAAGATGATATACCCAAATAGCAAGGTGTCGTCTATTTGACATCATTAATTCATCATTCTTAGGACTAATTTGACGAATCTAACATTTAAAATGACGGATTTGTCACAGCTACATAACGTTATAAAGTAACATCGAAAATACGTCATTATTTAATGTTGTTAACATAAATAAATGACGTTATTAATTGATCCCTATAATAATGTTATTATAGTGATCAATTTATAACGTTATTATAGCGATTAACTGATCACTATAATAACGTTATTGATGACCATAATATAACTAGTACGTCGATAGGTCAGCTATTCGTCGTACTAACAAGTTAATAAGAGTATGACGTTGTAAATACGTCGTAGGATGGATAAATACATGAATTCATTAATTTATGAAAAGATGACGTCGTTATTACATCTTAAATAGGTAATGACTTCAATAATCTATAATATGACTAATTATTGAGGTTAAAATGATGACAGCTTGCTACCTGGGCAGAAAATTGTATGCCTTTAATTTAGATTTTAGCAGACTAAATAATTGATTTTGTAATTTCTTGAACAATAAAACTATATGATCCTATTTATGTCTTATTTTAAGAACTTTTTCTAAAAGTCTATAAAAATGTTCTTAATATATCCTAAGGACTATAAAGTCCTTAGGAAGTTCCATATGATATCCTCAAAACGTATTTCGAGTAGGGTCGATAAAAATCATGTTTTAAACATGTTTTAAACCATTTTAAACTGCATGTTTAAAACATGCTTAATCGACGTTTTTTACATGTTTTAAACATGTTTTTTTATAATATTATTTAAAGCATGTATGTAACTTTAAAAACATGTTTGAAAAAAAATATTTTTTTCTTAAAAAGATAACATCTCTTATCAACCCTGTTTCACAGTCATTTGCTCTTTTCCAAGACTTATCGAGTTTACTAACTCGAGGATATTTAGGACTGAGCATGTATTTGAAATGCTTTTATATAAATAAGTATATACTTTCATTTGAAAAATGATATTTGTGACACTTCCGACAGTTAAAAAAAAGATTTAAATGTTTAAATGTTTATTGATTTAAATGTTTATTGATGTTTTATTGATTTTATTGCATATTTTATTAAATAAGTACATGTATGTTTGTTCTGTGTTTTAATCAGATGAGGTTGTAAGTACTGCTGTTACAAATAATGTTACAAATTAGATATTAAATATCATTAAAATCAATAAAATATTAATAAAAATGACATTTCGATAATGATTTGAAGATCCTTACAATATTATGAAAAAAAATTGTATGATACTATTTAAAAAATTGAAGATGACTTTAATTTTTTATGAAAAGAAATTTTTTCTAAAATTCTTTTATCGCATGTTGTAGTCAGATGATCGAATATTCACCTTTTAACTTCTTCTTTTAACTGTCGGAAGTATCTGAGAAATTATGCGGACAGTTATGTTGAATAAATGAATATCCTGCATATGGAACATTCTCCGAATATATAAAGAATATATAAAGAGTATGAATAAAATATTCAACGATTATTTAAATGTTGCTCTTACAGTTTAAAAATATTTCGAGACGTTCTGGAATATTCTTGGAATATTATTTTGAGATATTTTATGAATACATTTCATAAATATAATTAGCGTCAGCTGGTATCTTCTAATCGGTATCGACCGCGATAAGAGCTCGGGATTGATCGGTGGAACGAGCGGTGCTCTTGTTGACCGACGGATAATTCTTGGCGGAGCGAAGATTCGCGGGCGCTCGCGCGTCGACATGAGTCGCGACGCCGCGAGGCGCGACAGTCGTATCGGGACCACCGTGCGATGTGGACGTCGTCTTGCATTTCGCGTGTCAACATCTCGCGGTTTCGATCGGCACCGTACTTACGTGCCAGTGACACTTGGCGGCTTGCTGCCCGCGGGTAGGCATGTAGGAGCGACGCTGAGAGAGATAGATACATATCCATACATCTGTAAACACGCTACGCGCGTGGCGCGCGAGATCGGTCCACCGATCGCCGATCGTCGGCCGTAATCTGTAAGTCGTTGACTCTATCCTCGTCCACGTTTCTTCCTCGCGTAGATCGGATCGGATACACGCACGGATCGGTGAATCACGGCGCGCACTTGCCGGAGTTTTACGTTACTAGAGGAAGAGGAAGAAGTTCGAGCTTCCACGATCGACCGGTTGTCCGCCCGTCCATTGCGAGGAAGAGCCGCGGACCTCGGCGCGGACGTCGGGAGACGGAAGTGCACCGGTGTTTTCGCCTCCCGCACGTACGAGAGTACCTAAGGACGAACGAACTGACGATTACCTGCAGCAACTCGGTGCGTTTTGCGTCGGAGGAACGATCTCGATTCATCGACAGCGCGCGGAGCTGGGCGAGGATCGTCGTCACCACCACCACCGTCGCTGCGAGGAAGTGAGTAAACACTTTTTTTACGTTGCTTTTTTTTTATTCTCCGCATTCTCGTCATTCGCAGCTGACGCGCGTTCCGCGGTGCGCAAGGTGCCAGACCTCTGCTGCAGCGCTTTCGATTTTTCGCGATATATCGCGCCTTCCTCCTGCGTCTCTCCTCCTCCGCAGGCGGAAGTGGAAAGAAAAAAAAAAAGAAAAGGAAATCTGGAATGTCTCTCACGGCGACGTTTGGAATTGCCCGCGTAAAAATACTACTTGCGGATGATTCCCGAGCGAGCGAGGCCCGCAGGCGCTTTATTAAAGCGCTCCTCGGCGACACGGTGAGGAACGCACGACGCTAACGCCGCGCCGTCGTTCTCCACGGTTTGGAGTCTACGCGGTCGGCTGTTAAGTCGAGCGGTGCCTTTCGATTATCGGTAATGAGATGCGTGCCGGCGCTTTCATTGGCCACGGCGACCGCACGCCCGGCCGTCATCGGCTGGCTAATGACGCGTCCGACGCCCGGCTCGTTCGCGAGCGAGCGAGCCAGCGACGACAAGAACAATGTGTTGAACATCGGATCGCATCTTCGTTATACCACATCACGTATAATATACCAGACACGATTAATGTCCCTTTTTATCAGTTTAACTTAATTTTGATCTCAGTTTGATTTGTTTTATCGTTTTCCGATTCTTAGTTCCGGTTCCATCAATGTAAGATTAACTTTAATCTTGGTTCGATTGTTTATCTTTTTCTAATTGTTAAAACTGGAAAAAGATGAAGATTAAGTTGGTCCGAGATTAAAGTTAATCTATATTGGTAGAAATGTAGGTATTAAAGATTGAAAATTGAGCCATTCTTTTTTAAGATTATACTATCTATCATTAATTGTAAGATTAATCTTGTTGGAAAAGAAGATTCTCTTAACATTATAAGAATTTATTTTACTGATTATGTTTCCTGCAATGTTTTAATTCGCAATTCTCTTATCTATATATATATATTTTTTTTAGCTACAAAATTTTGAAAACAGTTTATAAAAGATGAACAGTAATATATTTCTGTAAAGCAAATTTTCTATAATGTAATACTTAATGCAGTATTTAATAATAAAGGATCCGGTTCTATCAATGTAAGATTAACTCTAACTTCGATTTAAGTCGTTGTTTACCTTTTTCTAATCAGAAAAAGATAAACAGTGACTTAAACTGAAATTAAAATTAATCTTACATTGATAGAAGCAGGTCTTAGAACTAAAAAGGAATAAAAAGTAGAAGATATCGGAGTTAATTTCAGCTGGTGGATTTTTTATCTTTATTATAGAGCTGCTGATTTGCTTCGAAGGCTTCGATATTCGTACTTCGAAGCTTCGAAACTTCGGCATCATCTCCGAACATCAAAGTTTTGAATTTTCGATAGTTCAATTTTCGAAGCATCGAAGAATCAAAAGTTATACAATTATTAATTTAACAGTTATTTGTAACGAGTATATTTTATAAAAGTATACAAATATATTTACGAATATATGTATATTGAATATTATGATTATATTTTTTAATTTTTCCATTCACACAAATATCTTTTTCGAAGCCTCGAATTTTCCAAGTTATCAAAAATAACAATTTTACTTGAACTTCTCCTTGAAATTCTTATGACACCTGGGATTTTAGAAGTTTGAATATGTTGTTATGTTCTCAGATTATGTTGCGATATAGTTGTAAATAATTCTGATTAGGCTAAAAAGTAAGTTAAATAGAAATTAAAGTAATCTACATTGGTAGAAATTGACATTATCAATCATTATCGGAGTCGGATGATCTTCTTTGTTCCATCTTCGGTGTCCATTTCTCCCTTTCTCTCTTTGCTCTTTTTATCTTTAAACCTCTCATCGAAATCGTTTCCTCTCTGCTCTTCCGCGAGAGGAAATGCTGACGTGTGTGCACTGAAAGTAAAGCATAGAAAACCGAGATGGTCCATCTTTCATTTCGAAGCAAGTCGGGACATTTCAAAGTGGTATCGTCACGTTGGCGCGATCGGCAACTGGTCTTTCAAATTCGGTATTTAAATTTCACTTTTAAATTCTTGGCAATGAGACGAGCGGCG